ACTTTACTAACTATAATACTATATGTTTTACTATAGTATAAGGTAATTAGATATAAAAGCCCTATTAAATATAATATATCTGAAGCTATAAGTAATATCTCGCAAAATATAAGGAGTTTTAGTATTTAACTAGTACTATAATCTAGCTCAAAGGCGCCTGCTATCCTTTATACCTAATTTAATAGGAATAAGAAGTACCTATACTTTAACTCGAGGAATAATTAGGACTTTTATATAGACTTAGGGCAGCGGTTTGCTTTATAGAGAGAGAATAAACTAGAATTACTTATACTATATTAATTTTTAGAAGAAGTTGCAGTAAATACTATAATTTCTGGAATACTTTTAAGAAAGCTTTTCTAAACTAAAGTAGGCTAGTTTATAATCCTAAAAGATCTATAGAAGTCTTATATACCCGAAAGTATAAGTACTCAAGGTAAATACTATTTGAGTTCTAACCTATAATAAAAGAAAAGTAAAGTATATAAAATAAAATATATAAAGTAAAAGTAAAATAAAATACCCGGATATTTAATAAATAGAAAGCCTAACTATAGGTTATAAGAACTAGTACTAACTAGATATATATATAGTAATATTAAAGAAGAGATAAGGCAAGAGAGATAAAGCGAGGGAAACTAAAAAATAAGTTAGTATATATTTTATAAAAAAGAATAGGGAGATATCTAAATAGCCTAAAGGCAAGGAATATATATTAAAGAAGTCAAGATTAAAGAAAGGAAGGCTATTTCCTATAAGAATAAGTTAGTATATATTTCAAGATAAAGAATAGAGATACTTAGTAGTGGCCCAAAGGCTTTTATAAGTATTAAAGGAAAGAAGAAGATATTAGAAAAGGAGAGGAAATATTAAAGTTCGGAGGAATCTAAATAGAAGTTAGCCTCTTTTTGGAAGTTTGAGAGAAAGTACTTCCAAAGGGCCTAAAGATATAAGAGGTATTAGAAAAAGAGAGAAGAAATCTAATATTTAGCTTTCTAAGAAGTAAGTAAATTAAAGACTTATAATATAGGAGTTCCGGATAAAAGTAACCCGGAAGTAGTAGTTAGGTACTAGCTCTTGGTATTATTAGTAGAGGGGTTAAAGGAGAAGAAGTTTAAAGGAGGAAGGGTTTAAAGAAGAAGGGGTTTAAAAAAAGAAGGGTTTAAAGAAAAAGGGGTTTAAAGAAGAAGGGATTAAAGGAGAAAGGGTTCAGAGAAAAAGGGAAAGATTATAGGTAGTTAGATACTAGCTCTTAATATTAATAGAGGTATTAATAAAGGTATTAGTAGAGAGTAGTAAGATACTAGCTCTTGGTATTAATAGCAAAGTCGAAAAAATATAGAAGAAGAATAGAGGTTTTAAAATAAAGATAAAATAAAGTTATACTTTTATAAAAAAAAAAAAAGATACTAGTATAAGGTAATTATATTATTAAATTCCATATTTACTTTTACTATTTATTAAGGATATATATCTTTTAGGGAAAAGTATTACTTAGTATTTCTAGGAAATAATAATTTAATAATAATACTATTAAAAAAACTAAACCTAATATATTTAAGTATATTAAAATAAGGTAATTATTTTTATATTAAAAATTAAATTATAGTATTACTAGATATAAAGTTATTTTAGTTTATAGACTGGGCTATATATAGAGATCCGAGGATATTAAAGCTCACTTGAATTACTTATAAAATAGCTATATAAATAGCTAGTAATATAACGAGATAATATTACACCTTACCTAATTAGGTTAATAATAAAGCCCTTTACTATAGCGGATATATAATATCTGTTTTTTGAGGTATTATATAGCCAGAAAGGAAAGATATATAATTATATAATTCCCAGATTCTTGAAATTAACTAGAAATTAGTTAATTAGAAATAAGTAAATATTGCTTTTTATATTCCTAATTTAACTAGCTATTAGAGTAATAAGATTCTCAATATAACTAATTTAATAATACTAGGAAATCCAAATAGTCTCTTATTACTTATATACTTTTCCCTTACCTTTAATAAACTATAGAGAGCTCTTATTAATATTAGGCCTAGCTATCTCGAGAGATCCAAAGCCTTTACCCTAAGCTTCCTGGACTACTAGTACTACTAACCCCGAGCTTTTACCCTAGATCTCTTATATAGCTACCTAAAAGGCTCCCTATATAGTAGATATCAAGCTTTCGCTCTTATTCTACTAAATAACTAGCTTACTAAGCCCTTCCTTGTTTTGTACTATATAGTCGAGACTTTATTAAAGAGCCTCTATTATAAGCCTTACCTTCTCTTGCAAGTTCGTAATCTCTAAATTCTTTTTTATAAGACTATTAAGATACTTTAAACTTATAAATAATTATTTTCCCTTAATTGCCTTACCTTAAGAATCTCCTAAAAAAAAAGAGAGTATCTTTATATTTAGCTTCTTAAGATTCTTTATATAGATTTCGGCGAGACTTTATTTTTTAATTTTAAATTCCTCTCTTATAGCTTTTAAAAGCTATACTTTCTTATTAAGCCTATTTATATAGGTATTACTTTCTTTAATTACTATATCCCTCTCCTTTTCAAAGCCCTATTTTCGTACCTCAAATTACTTCTTTTTTCTCTTAAGGTCCGCTAGCCCCTTTTTTAATATATACTAATACCTATTAATATAATCTTTTATTATAGACTCCTTTAGCTACTTATATTATTTATTAAATACCTTATTAAAAGGCTCCTCGAAATTACTAGCTAGAGTAGGCTTAGTAGCTAGAGTGGGCTTATAGGCTAGAGTTTTAGTAGCTAGAGTAGGCTTACTAGCTAGAGTTTATAGAGACTTAAATTTCTTATAGTTCTTTTAATAAATAATACCAAGTTATTTACTAGTACTTTAATACTAATACTACTTCTTTTCAGATATATAATTATTTCTAATTATATTACTATTAGAGTTATTAGTATTAAGGGTTTTTAATAAGTTATTAGTATTAGGGGTTATTATTAAATTAACTATTAGCCCTTTATATAATTAATAATCCTATAGAGGCTACTTTTTTTTAATAAGAATAAGGAAGCAGAGTTTGGGCTCTTAATAATTTATATTAGGATATATATTCTTTATATATTTAAGAAACTATTCAAAAGTATAATTTTCTCTAAATAGAACCGGGAAGTCCGGAACTTTAGAGCAGGCAACCCTACTAGTAAGGTAGCTTATAGTCAGGCTTTAATCCTTAAGGTCAAATTTATAGTATTTAGCCCTTCTAATACCTTTCCAGATATTAGACTCTAGGAGGCAATTAAGTATCTAGCTACTAAGTCTTATAAACGTCTCGTAAGGGTCGAGAAAAAATAGGAGTTTTAAAGAAGTAGTCTGCTTAAACGGCTTCCCAGGGTAGCTAATATAGTAATAGATAGTTATTAATAAGCCTATTAGTAAAGGCTTATTAGCAGGATTATAGCTATATCTACTAGTTAGCCCTTCTTTATTATACTTTCTCTTATTATCTTCCTTTACTTTTAACTCTCGCTAACTATAAGCCTTAGTCAAAGTACTTCTCTGGAGCCTCGATTTCTTCTTCTTCTTCCTAGCAGAGGCGAGGTCGTCTTCCTATATACTATAAAGAATATCCCTAATAATAGTCCTTTAGAGACTTTTCCTCTTCTTCCTTACCCGCTTCTCCTTCCCCTTCTTCTCCCTCTCTTCCTTATCCTTTTGGAACTTGGCCTAATAGGTATACTAATTTCTAGTACTTACCTTTTTAGTACTATCGTCATTATCGTCCCTCTTATTATTCTTGGAAGGGCAAGAGGCGAGAGGCTTCGGCTTCGGCTTACGGGCCTTCTATAGATACTCCTCCTCTGAGGTGGATTTGGTCGGGCTTGAGGAGGGAAAGACAGTACTATAGCGGCTATAAAAAGGGCTAATACCCTTCTGCTTTTAGCACTTTTCGCAGTAGGCTATAGTATTATAATATATAAAGTCTTGGATAAGGCAGTTTTAAAGAGATTAGATTAAGAATAGAAGTAAAAGGGAGCAAAAATAGTAATCTAAAGAACAAGAATATAGTAGGAAAACCCCTCTCTATTAAAGAATTAGTAGGACTATCTGTCTCTATTTTGGGTATAGATCTATACCGAGTTATCCTATAGTATATCTTTACTTATTATTACCGGTTTCGGATATGCCTCTTACTAACTAGCGACTTTATATATATCCTTATTTATTACTACCAGTTTCGGATACACCTTCTGCCGGCCGGCCACTCCAAGTATATCCTCATTCGATACTACCGGTTTCGGGCACGCCTCCTATAAACCAGCGACTTTATATATCTTGACTTATTTTTGCCGGTTTCGGATACGCCTCCTACTAACTAGCCATTCCAAGTATATCCTCTGTAACTAATTCTCTAATCCGATATAATTCCGTCCTTCTATATATACCTTATATATGCAAAGCTAGTTATATATTAGTAAGAGCAGAGAGAAGGGGCAGAGGGGTATTACAGGTAGTAGTACGGGGCTAGTATAATCTTACAAGAACAATTCAGAAGTATCGTAGTTAATTATATTATAAATTATCTATACTTAGAAACATGATTTAATTACATATACGAGTCTTATAATGGATAGTAATAAAGGGACTTAAGTTAGGTGTGGTTGTGCCTGCAGAATGCGGTATTTTGGTTACGGGCGATTTTTGGTGGGGTGCGCACGTGCCACAAATCAGACATCAAAGGTCGAAAACCAGATTCGAAAATCGCTTGGTCTTCTGATCCTTATCGCTTTCCGTAGATACCTTACGATTCTGGCATCAATACCTATCGATACCAGAAATTAGGTATTACTGCCAAGCCTGCTTTCTAGCGTTTAAGCATAACAATTCCGATATCCTACTACTTCAAGAGTAATGGAGCAGGCGACTTGGTACTTGAATGTTCTCTGTGGGAGCTCTCGCCTGGTCCTTTTGTTGGATAAAGATTAATGTCAGATACTACTCTATCAACCCCTTCACACCTTGAAATACCCCGGCTGCAACCTGTCAAAAACACCCTCGGGATCATACTTCCTCTGAATCTTCTTCATCTTCCCTCGATTCTCCTCCCCATACCCCGCGAACACATCCTGCACCTCACTCGCATAATTCGGATACACCCATCTATGCAGCAGCCCTTCTTTCTCCAGCAAGACCATCGTCATCTCGGAAAGTCTAGCAACTGAAGCCTTGACTGCCTCGTCGTCTTCTGCTCTGTTCCATTGTGGGCAGATTGATAGTACTACAATCCACATTCGCGTCAGTATAACTTGTTCAGTGGAAGGGGAAGGGGAAGGGAAGTACCACAGATAGGACCGTCGTCATCAGAGAAGCCGAAAGGATTACCACCGTTTTTATTGTTTCCAACCCGCACGATCTCGGAGATGGGCTGCATGACGATCGTGGGAAACATGCCAGGCAGGTCCTTAACAGCCTCGATCTCCTCGAGGAAGAGGTCGAAGATTTGTTGGAACACTGTAGCGTTAAACCGCAGTGTGATCTCATGAAATATAAACCTTCCGGCACACATCAGCGTTCCATTTACTTTAAGTGGAGGTATTGAGTTGAGGGGAAAGGGGAGATATACCGAAAGCCAGGAACATTATACGGATCAAACTCCTGCACCATGGATCGCAAGCTCCGCACACTGGACGTGCTGTATGCTGGCTTCCCGATGGCTTGCAAGTCCAGCATAGCCAGTGGTTTTGAGCTGGGCGCAGGCTGCGCAGAATGCACGTGTAGCACATTGGCGGCTACCACACCTGGTGTTTGGAAATAGCTGAAAGCGAGGAAATACTGGAAGTAACTCTCATCACCCTTTTCGTTCAGGATCATGTCCTCAAGGGCCTCGATCATGGCGGTGCTTGTTGTGCTGCGTCCGAGGAGAGTGGCTACTTGTATCCCGAGCTGGCAGAGGGATTGAATTAGGTATCTGAGCGAGAATGAGAACGGTCGCTGGATGCCCAGGGTTGTGCGGCGGGCAAGCGGGTCAGAGAGGACGTGGATGTTGTTGCCTCCCCAGACGGGACCCAGTTCGTATGCTTCGAGATCAAAGGCAGTCACGATGCCGAAATTGCCTGCGCCGCCTCGAAGAGCCCAATACAAATCAGGATGAGACTCATAATTGACATTAGAGATAGACCCGTTGGCGAGCACGACCTGTGAGTTTTGAGTTCCTGTGCACCTTTCCGCGAGAAATCAGTGCACTTACCTCGTAGTTTCTGACGTTATCGGAGGCCCACCCATACTTACGCCCTAGAAACGATATTCCACCTACAGTTTTTGTCAGGTCCATGCCCGGTCATTCCCCACCTCGTCGCTCACTCACCACCAAGCAGAAATCCCCCAACACCAACATTACTAACCCTTCCACCCACAACCACCTTCCCCTTCTCCTCAAAAAACTCATATACCCTCCCCCACCTCTGTCCCGGGCCCACCCTCGCCGTCTGCCCATCCACACTCAACTCCAACGTATCCAAATGCTTCAAATCAATCGTAATTCCGCCATCAGCATTACTCGCCCCCTCAAACATCGCGTGACCACCCGACTTGATTGCAAAATGGCAATTATGCTTGGAAATGGTTTTCACAGCCGCTGAAACATCCCCCGGGGTCAAGGGGTGCACGACACATGCTGGTACTACGTCGCGCTGGCGATTGCAATGGAAGGAATCTTTGAAGTCGTCCGGTAGAGAGTTATAGTGCACTTTTTCAGATTCAAGGACGTTCACTAGCTCCATGCACTGAGGATGTTAGTACGTGTGTGATTGGAAAGAGGGAGAGGGATGGGACTTGCAGCATTGTGGCAGGCACTGGATGTCTGAATCCCGTGATCTGACTCTGAGATGGGGTGTTGTGCTTCATCGGCGAGCACTCCACTTCCGCCTTTCGCGGCAAGGAGCAAACCTAAGGCGATGTACCATTATAGAAGCATGGCTAAATATGGCTTGCATTGAAGAAAAGAAAAAAGAAAAGAAAAGGCATTTACTGATGAGAGGAGGTACAGCTTGAGGATATGCGGTGGAGACCTTGAAACCAGGGTTCTAGCGCTGACTGATTACCTGTCAGAGGTGTTCCTCAAAAACCAGTGAACCATACCACACACATGCTTGCATGTTCTTCTTGGTATCAAAACACGAATACGCTACCTCCTCTCTCATTCATAATCACAAATCCAATTCCTCGAACAACGCGAGTAATGCCCGAGAAGTCTAGTAAACGGCGAACGTTTAGGGCTGTAAAGGATAAGTTGACATTATTTGAGTTCTTCTAAGGACTGTTTGGTAATGTACGGTCGTATAGGGAACCAAGCATTTCACAGCGTCTCAGAAAACCAATCGGAACGCGGCCCTCGTTTCTGCACGATTGTTACAGTCACAGCTAACTGATATTAGACCGATCGCGAAACCCCACCAAAATTCGCCACTTTGCCCACTTTGCGGTGAAATATCACAACGCCCACAATGCGTGAACCGATCTAACGAATTGGAATCGAAATAAATAGTACAAGATCTAGCTTTTATACGATTCCAGGTAAGCTGAAAATAAGAGGTTCCTTTTCAGTCCACTCGTATATTGCTGTGACCGGAATTTAGCTCAAAAGTAAGCGAATTTTGGTGTACAAGTGAGGTGGCTATGGGCAAAAACGTCGCAGTTTACGGCCACCTAACTTTACGACCACGCGCCCTTAGAATTATCGTAATTGGTAAAATTAAGCGTAATGATCCAATGAAGAGCTATGCTCGGACAGTTTTACTGTAAAGGGGTCGTAATGTGGTTAGTTGCGAAAGTGTTATACCCGAGTTTTGGTGTAAAAAGGGGTTTCGCCTAACGAGCCTAGTGACATAAGTCTGTGTCGCACAGGGCAATTTGCTCACTAACGAGCCCTATAAGGAAATTTCAAACTTCTAAGCTTCGTGATAACTTCTCTAATTATTATTACACAATACACTTTAGCTTCTTCTTAATTAAAATCTCGAAGCACAAGTAATAATACAGGCTGGTTATTTAGGGGATTTCAAGTAAAGTGGGTGACTTTGGTGTTCCGAAGCCTAAAAAGTGCCCTGTGCGACACAGACTTATGTCACCAGGCTCGTAATATCAGTTGGCTAGTACTGTAGCGTAACCTCAGCCGAATCTTTAGCCCCTTCCCTCTCACAAAGGTACGTACGAAGGCGCGCCGAATTGAAAACAGTCCCTTTCGCTAAGCGAGAGTTTTGAAAATCATTCCCTCACCTTTAAAAAATCGTAATAAAACTCCCTAAAAGTTTAGAACTACGGAACCGTAACAAAAGATACTTCGACTTCTTTTCTATTACATAAAGGTAAATTTAAAGTATTTGGACCTGGTAGTGCTACGATGCGCAATTTTCAAAAACTAGAGATTTTGGTGTTCCTTGCCTTAGGCGAACATGGACGGATTTCAATTCGGTGCGCCTTCGTAGTCCATCGCCGCTCTGCTCAGGCGCTACTCATCGTCATCTTGCCCTCCACTCAGGTTGCTCAGTCAGATTCCTGCTCTCCATTCTATTAACCAATTATAATTTACGTACTATTGGGCTCTACCGTGCGAAAGTTGTCAACTCTACATAACTATGTTCAGGGTGACCAAGTTGCCAGCTAGTTCTAGAACGCTTGTGGCCTCACTTGTCTCAGCCCCTTTTACCACCCAGTGCATGTGATTCTCCTTACTCTCTTGTACATAGCTTCAACTTACCCAGTTTATTAGCTCTTTAATCTTTCCTTCCTGAAAGGCATCTAAAAGAAGTCGGCTCCCAGGGAGCCTAAAGAACCCCTCCCGAATAAATTCTTGAATCCCTCAGGGCAGATTTTCTTGCAACATGGAATTGTCTCGCGCTGCCTCCCAAATCTTTACACTTTCGTATGCCTTCTTCCACCAGACCCTTCTCCACCCGCCCTCCGAATTTGTGTGTACATTGCAAATTTTTGTTCTAACAGACTACTTCTTTCTATTATCTCAGGCTCTCAGCGATCGTTTCCTTTATTAAACATAGATAGGCCAATAGACTCTAAGAGTTTTGTTGAAAAGGCTCGACAAAGAGGGCCTGGGAAAAATACAATTCACATTAATAGTTCCGAAGTCCAAAGCCATCTCGAGCTCAAGACTCGAAGGTCCTATTAAAGGCAAAGAGCCAATTAGTATCAGTCCACAGTTCGTATCAAATTAATGCGTCACCATCACTGCATACTGCTAGGCAGTTCAACGCAATGTTCGTACCTTTCTTTATACTAAAGCTTACTTTCAAACCCCTTTTAAACTTACTCCTTTAGCAGAATCATCACATCTCTTCAACCTTCAAACCACAGCCATAAAATGCACTAAACCGCAGTGCTTCCCACAAACACGACTTGTACACTCGCGAACCTGGTTAAGAAAGTCAGCAAGCACCAACCTAAGCGAACAAAACAACGAACGCAGCAGTAGCAGCAAAAACCTCAATCCTCTTCCCCGTCGCCACCCAACTCAACACCAGCGAGAACAGCACCGTGAACAACGCCACGAGACCTAGCCGCGCCCACATGTTCTGCACGCAGTATAGCACAACGACAGCCAGGATCGGCAAGAGCGCCGAAACGACCGTCCCGATCGTGTCCGCTAGTCGCAGCACCGTCTCCTCTTGGTAATGATACAGCTGCCTCTCCACATCCGAAGGAGCTTTGAACCGCACATTGATGATGTTGTGGTAGTATTGCAGCAGGCGATTCTGCACGAGCCGCGCGAAGGAATCGTTGACCAAGTTGGGGGCAACGACGAGCAGGTCCTTCGGGTCGTCGCGCCAGAGGTTCCCGCCGAGGCCTTCGAGGGTGTGGTTTCCTTGACGGGGGTCGGCGAGCCAGGAGTTGAGGAAGGCGAGGTTGCCGGGATCGGGGGCCGAGAAGGCGGCGAGTTGCCGCTGCTGCAGGAGGCACTCGTCTAGCAAATTCAGTCTCTCTCGTACTTCATTTTAATAGTGTGGAAAGTGCGCACTGTACTCCTTTAATTTCCCCCTGATGGCAAGCATGGTATACCACTGAGCACATGACACGCCGCCATCTGGAACTCGGCTCAGGAAATACCAGTTTCGCGCGTGCAGCTTCCGTTCCCTATCCCCGGACTGGATATCTTCTAAAGTATAGTCTTTCAACTGCTGTTCGAGATCTACAAGTTCGGCCTGCAAATAAAGAAGGTTGCGGGCGTTAAGGACGGAGAAGCGCCGATAGATGCTCAGGATTGGGTATGTGCCCATAAGGCTGGCGAGTTGAGGGTAGCCTTCCATTTTTAGCAGCGTGGCTGGCAAAAGATTTCGTAGACCAGATTCTGATGAACAGTTAGAGCATTACGAAAGGGTTTGAGAGCAGAGTAAGGATGAGATGTATTTGAATGGAAAATGGTTGCAGCCTTCTCTGGTTGTCCGTTGGGCTGACTACTGCATGCATTCTTGCTGCAAGGTGATCCAGCCCCTGGAAGCCCCTGGCCAATCAACGCCCCCTCTCACCAAGCAGGCTTCTTAACAGGCTCGCCATGGGCAGATAGACTTGCTCAACGTTAAAGGAGTCTGGAGGGAAAATCGAGCTGCAATGTCGCTTTCAATGTTCGGATTGAGCGAGCTTCCTTGAATAAACGAACATTTCTTCCACTCCCCTATCTAAGAGGCTACTGCCATTACAAGCTGTCTCCAAAGCTCAAAGATGCGAAGAAACGCCAGATTGGCACTGGCCACACCGAAATGACAGGTACTCTGTAATGCAGGCATTCAAATTCGCACTCTCACGAGCCCAATGAAAATCCCATTCCGTCCGAGGCGCCCTTGCAAATGTTCCGAACCGCTTACCCCTCCATACGCCGTCGAAGCCTTGCAATTTATGATCGACTACCGCTTCCCCCTCCAGACTGCTGCCTCAATGCTTCTGCAGCTCTCAGCTCTCGTTCTCTTTGCTCATTCTGTTGGCGGTTTGCCTCTTTGGCTATCTCTAACCGCTCTTCCTCTTTTTCCTTCTCCTTCTTGATTTCCTCTGTCAAAGATTAGCATCAATCCAGCGTCAGTGGCGGCCTGGCATTTGTTTACTCACCTGGAGTCAATTTGCGCCCACGAATCATCATGATTGCCGCCAGACTGGTCGGTATCTTATCTGCCATGAAGGTGCGGTAGAATTTCTGATTCAGCAACATATCGAACCCACCTTGTATCATAGGTGTATGACAAAACTCCTCTTTAAATCGCTTACTTAGAAGAGACCCCTCCCCATGACCAGAGAATTCGATGCTGACATTCCCACCCAGCGGTTTCTCGCTTCCATCAAGAAAAACCATCTTGGCCCACGGCTCACCAGGGGTGGCATCCACGTATTCCACTATGTTGTCCGTGATCACGTTGGGCCCGGCATTCCCAGTATCAATCAGGACTTTCCCGAGTCTGTACTCTAAAGAACCCGGCTTGTAAATCCGAACCCTTTGCTCAAATCCATTGCCTCCACTCATTTCACGCCCTCGAGGGATTGCGCTCGGGTTATCTGTAATCTCTGTTGTGATAGGGCTCGGCCCGGTATTTCCAGGATCACCCACGACTGTCCCTGTTGTTGGCTGAGCTAGATCCTCCTGCGTGTGTTCTCGGGTTTGTTGCTCATCTCCATCGCCTCTCCTGTTCTCCTTCTGTCCATCTCGCACACCGGGGATTGCGTCTGGGTACTCCGTCGACTCTATTGGGATAGGGGCGGGCCCCGTATTAACAGAATCAGTAACGACTGACCCTTTTGTTGATCGAGCTGGATCTTCCAGCACCTGTTCTAGAGTTTTGACCTCAGGTCCATAATCTCCCCCAATGTCCTGCTTTCTTGCCCGTCGTCTTCGGAGCCAATGAGAAACAAATATCAAGCTACAGAGGGCACCTAACCCCAATAAGACGCCCATGACGATTGCTGCTATTGTGACTTCGCTGAGACCTTTCTCCTGAGGAGTATGTGCAGAGAAATCGGTCGTGGCGGAAGGGCTCGAAGAGGAAGATGTGGAGCTCGTGATGCTAGAAGTAGTCGTATTTGAGACAACGCCACTCTGGACCAGCATCCAGTTCGCGGTATAGGGATTGGCAGTTGTGCTGTTGACTAGAATCACGGCAACGTAGCCATCGTCAAGGCTCATAGAGACCATTGGATAGGGCTGCGTGTTTCCGTTGATCAACTCGAATGCGCCATCGATTGGGTTCTATAATGTGTTAATATCATGATTCGGATCTTCTGTATCTTTAATCACATTACTTACCACAGACCAATGTTGCATACGCCGCGCATCGTTTGCAAGACCCATAAACATAATCGTCGCCTGGTAAGTATTAATATCCATTCGATGGGTCCCTGGCCAGCCCTTGTTGTATATGTAGTATCCACCTTCCGTGTCCGACTCAAGTCGCCACAGAGCTGTGTCCTGTAACGGGGTGCATGATTCGAATCTAGTGGGATATGGGGAGGAGCCGTCGACACCCAACTCAGCATAGAGACAGTTCCCATCTCCTGCCTGCGCGGTGGTCATGGTGTACCACAAATTGGGATCCGGTGCATTCGAGGCTGGAAGGGTAGTATTTGCGCGTGGCGAGGGACGTGCCCGGGCACGGCCAAAGAAGACCAGGCACACCAGCGTCGGTAGGCTTTTCGAAAATATCGCCATCTCGTTGATGGAATGCTGAATGAGTGGAATTCTGGAGGAGTCGTAACGTGCATAGAAGCGAGGAAGCTTTCCAAATTTTGTCCACAAGTCGGAGATGAAATGTAAATCGACAGTTGACTGACGCTCCGAACAACAACACTCACTCAAAGCAGCGATTGACTATTGAACAAACGAGTGTGCGTGAAGGAAGGCGTCCCTACGAAGTATGTATAAGAGAGTAAAGAGAGTGGCAGAAGGCAGGAAAATGGCGGAGAGGGTAAGAGAAAAGGAGAACCAGCAGAGAGTGGATACTTTGACCACAATCTATCTGAAACAAAGTCAGAGTAGCAGGGAGATGATACGATCCACGGTCCCAACATCCGTCAGGCAGATGGTTCGCCACCATCCAACCCATCTCAGCGGCTCTCTTGCTGCTTCCGCTGCCAGGAATCGGGATGAAACGGCGCCCGATTGCGCAGCAATCGTACAACTCGTATTGGGAGGCTTCATTTGGCCCACGGCAGCAAGATGTTTTGCATCCCAAGCGCATGTCAGGAAAGCACTGCGCAGGTGCATCAGAGGATCAGAGGATCAGAGCATGCCATCAAAAGATGGAGGAATTCGTCGGTGAAGTTGATTGAAGGGGAGTTCTCCATTGCAGTCGACGTCGGGTTCTCTTCGCGAAGCAGCCTGAAGGCACTCGCTGCTACCGCGCGGTTGGGTTGGGATAGCAACGAGCTCAACCGCTTCCCGTGACCTCTCTGAGCCTCCCGTGCTCCGCTCCCGACATCTGTCTACAGTATGTGTTTGGAAGCGTGGAACATCAAAACCTCGACGTTTGGAAAACTGCGAATTTGACCCCCCAGCCCAACTCCGAGGACTACAGTGCCAGATTAATGGGTGGGGAAAGACGCAGTCCAGCTGTATCATTTCGCTGTGAGGGGAGGTCTCAGCAAGTACCATACGGGGCTTCACCAAGCGGTGGTTTTGGCCCCCGACTAGGACATCGAGGGGGTGTGATGCTAGCTGGCGTTCGAGCTGTTCGGAGAGCCTCTCCGCCACCCTCGCCATTCACGTCGTCTACTCCGTAAGCGAAGAGACCGTCAGGGAGCGAGTCGTCGATCCTGAGGGCAATCAGAAACGACTCACGAGCAAATTCTCGCGTTCGTGCCTTTCCACGCGCAACTCGCCGGGGCAGCCAATCACGGCCCGCAACTGGGCGCGTACTGTAGTGAAACGTGCCGGCCCGGACGACAAGGACCGGGGCGGTGGGGCAAGTAGCCAGAGCGAAAGTGCGTGCAGCTGGCTCGTGGGCTCGATGTCAGGCACCCTCTACTGCTTCTATAATCGCCTTGATCATGATATCCTTGGCCTCTAGCACTCCCGTTCCTTCCGAGCTTTAGAATCCGGAGGATGATGGCTCGGGCAAAGAAGGGGGACCTGACTACCGGATTTCGGTGGAACATATATCCGGTCATCAGGTGACACCCAAGATAGAACGTCTGTGCGTTCGAAACTGTTTGAAAGATTTTAGATAAACAGGACACCGATTTCGCTCCTTTCATCACAGAAACTCACTACTGCCTGCTAGTTAAGCTTTAAGCGGAATTTGAACTGGCTCGTCTGTTTCAAGGAATATCTAGCTAGGAAATACAGTGCTCAGCGTGTCACTAGCCACCCTATTCCGAGGATGAGAAATCCAAGTCGACCGGATGGCACTCGGTATCGTCTACGTAATACAGTCAGAGACCCAACAGAATTGGTAGCCACCTCCATAAACCCGGCGGATGTTTGCCCTAGATGCAAATCAATGACATCCACTCCAAAGGGACTGATGGAACTCGTATCAGAGCGCGGGTTCGAGCTCAACTATCTATCTGTTGTTCACGCCTCTGAGCAAGGCTGTCTATTTTGCAAGTTGCTCCGTGCAACGGTTATCCGCAAAACTAAATCCGTCGATCGGAAGAGGATGAGCCGCGATAGAGAGGCAACGGCCGGGAAAGACACATTTCTGACTTGCAAATTATACCTCAATGATAGATTTGAAGGAAAGAGGGCTTTACGGGATCTGAGTGGTGAGGAAGAAAGGGAGAAAGAGGAGCTGGAGAGATTTGGTGAAGTGTATCAGCTACTAAAAAGGGCTGATATAAGTTCTCGCATTTGGGTTTATTACTATGTTACAAAGGGCTTCCCGGCTCACGAAGTTGGGTCGATTGACATTTACGCACCAGAAGGTATGTCGGTCCATCTCACTGAAGTTGAAGACTGAGCTAATCGGGCCCAACACCAGGAGACCGATCAAGTGTATTTCTGCCTATACGAGCAGACCTGAACTACGCCCCAGAAAGCCTCCTCATGCACCGTATAAAAGACCAATTTCTCGAATGCCGTCTTAAACACAACAAGAAATGTTCCTTCAATGCAGACTCTTATCTCCCAACACGCATCATTGCTGTAGGTGCAAAAGATGAAACACCTTTTTTACATATCAGCAAAGCTTCAGAGAGAGCAAGTTATGTAGCGCTTAGCTATTGCTGGGGCGGGCCCCAAAAGGTAACCACAACAGTTGCAACACTGCAGTCGAGGATAAGTGGGTTAAATTTCGAAAGCCTGCCAAGAACTCTACAGGATGCTATCACCGTAACACGTCTACTCGGATTCAAATACCTTTGGGTTGATGCGCTATGTATTGTCCAAGACAGCACCACAGACAAAATCGCCGAAATCAACTCCATGGGAAACGTCTATAAGAACGCCACGATTACCATCGCAGCAGCAAATGCATCCAGTGTTAATGAAGGCTTCTTAGAAAAGGAAAACCCGCCAAACTGTGCACGCCTGCCGCTTAGTCTTCCGAGTGGGGATATGGGGGCTATTTCTTGCCACCCGACTTCCCATTCTTTGGACTCGGATGAAAATGTCTTGGGCACAAGAGCGTGGGCCTTGCAGGAACACTTGCTATCTCCACGACTCATTTATTTCGGAAATGATTATTTGGCCTGGAAATGTCTTACGACATGCATCTCTCTTGTTTCAGAATTGAGATTTGCTTCAGCGGAGATGCGATTGCCTAACAAGCTTTTTGATAACACCAACAACGAAATTTTGTCCAGAGACAAATTGGCATTGACATGGAAGAATGTTGTGGAGGATTATAGTGGGAGGGCTTTGACAGTCCCGGAAGATCGTCTGCCTGCTTTATCTGGTGTTGCTAGCGAGCTCCAACACTGCTTTCCTTCCCAGAACGCGTATTACGCTGGGATGTGGGAAATGATTTTGATAAGACAGATTGGATGGTTTAATCGAGAACACGAATCTAAAGCCTCAGGGTTGCGGGTTCCTATGGAAAGAAAAAGACAAGGTCCAACATGGTCATGGGTATCTCTCGACCATCCAGTTCGCTTCGTCGACGTGTATCACGAAGCGGCCATTATGATATCCTGCAAAATCGAACTAGCTATTCAAGGTGCCCCATTTGGAGAGGTTACTGGCGGTACTCTGACTTTGCGCGCTGTCATGGCTTCCCATCCTTGCTCAGGGCCGGAGGGACTCAGCAATAGAGCCACAATTACCATGGACGAGGATTCCCCTGCTGAGGACAGGGTTGCGATATATGTGTGTATCGGTAAAACCGTACAGAAAATGGGCGTTGGTTTAATTTTGCTTCCAGCAGAACTAGGCAATTTTAAGAGAATTGGTCAGATACGAGTTCCGGAGAAAGAGGAGGACAAGGTTTGGTCGAGAGATATAGAAATGCAGACTATTACAATTATATAAATTAAAATGTTATGGGAGCCCAGGTATTGGGACGGAGATGGCCTATCAACTCACGCGATGCTGATGGTGACTGTAATTCAGATTGATATATTATTTGGCGGGCTGCATCGATGTGCAATTAAGGAGTAAGAATTCGCCTTCAGTCAGCCAAGTTTGTTGAGTGTGGGACTGAAGCAGATTCGAACTCTGCTGTACGTTTACACAGGCTCGGCAACGATTGCTGAGCAATCGTACCGAGGCGAGAAAAGTCCGCCTTCAACCATCGTGCGCCGAGACGAGCCCCCTCGTCTCACGAGAAAGGAAAGGGGGTTGAAAATCATTAGCCGTGAAGTAGCCTTTTTTTAATAAAAAAAATAATAATAAAAAAAACAAAAAAAAAGAAAGATGAAGTAGGCACTATCGATATCGCCTTCCTATATATTCCATCTACCACTCCCAAGAGACAACTCAATGTTGCTCCGAGCGTCATTGTCAAACCTTCATCTACTGGTGAACGTCCTCAATCACATCATTCTATACAAAACTCGTACACAAATACAAACAGACCTCACAACCCAGTAACCCGCATCAATCCATAGCCCACCGTGACAACAACCAGCAAGGTGATGACACTAGACGGGATACCCCGACTAATAAAGTGTTTGACTTGCAGGTATCTCTGACCAGTCTGCGAATCTTCCATCATGATTGCCGCTATCAAGGTCAGCATATGAGCTTCATTTTGAAAGATAGAGTGGAGTGGGAGGAGGACATACTCATATTGGGAAAGCCCGAGGTCGGTAATCCCATTGCAGCACTGCACATCAAAGCACTTCCCATAACCAATAATCTTGGGTGAGGCTCTGCCATATTCTTCCCGACATCATGAACCAGCGGGAGGATAATCAGCGCTGCGACGGTGTGACTGATAAACGTCGCAACAACCAAGATCAAAGTTGCGAATACAATGAGGACGCCATATAGAGAGAGACCAGCCACCTCGTCTGTGATCGTCTTTGCGATGGTGTGTAGAAGTCCTGATGAATTGACTGCTTTACCGAGTGAAAGGCCACCAGCAGCCAGGATGATGATGGTCCACAGGAAGTTGTTGAAGTCTTCTTTTGTGAGGATCCCAGTTCCGAAGAAGAGGACGAGGGGGATGATGGCGATGACGCCCATTTCTCCGAAGAGCCAATCGAGTTGGGTGCTGAAGCACCAAAGAACAATGGTTCCCAAAGTCACCAGTGAGATGAACCATTGCACGCCGGTGAACCTGTCTCTGACGGGGCGGATGGGGACAATGGTCGTCCCTCGGCCGGGATGGAAGCTAAGAAGCAGTACAAGCCAAATGAGGAGAATGGAGATGATGCCGACTGGAAGCGCGATGAAGAACCAGATTAGCCATGATGGAGGTGGTTTCATGATTTCGAGAGCGACGATGTTTTGGGGAGATGCGATAGGAGAAAGCATTCCACCAATGTTGGAAGCGAGCGCAATGCCGAGAATTAGAGCTTTAGACATGGGGGAGTCCGAGGGGAGGTTGCGGAGCATTGGCTGCAGAAGTTAGCCTGGAGTTTTAGACAGGAAGCAGGGAACATACCTGAATAATAGAGAAGCACAAGACAGGTGCTGCAACATTGCTAATCCACATGCTAGCAAAGGCTGCTACGAACATATTCGTTACCAGAACTATGCGAGGTTTTGTGCCAGCCTTGCTCAGGACAAACGTCGCGATTCTCTTCGCGATATCGTACTTCGATAATGCAGCAGCAATGGCGAAGCCACCAAGTAGGAGCATAATTGTGGGCGTCCACATGGCTGCAAATATATACTTGGTTGCATCCTTCGTGGTGAGGCGGCGATGCGGTTCATCGTCTGATCGAACTACTCTCAACATGACGCAAAGGAATGGCACCAGCAATGATGTTACAAAGAGAGGAATGACCTAGAGATGTTAGCAGAATTCGCAGAATAGTGCAACTAGTGCACCTCCTACTTACTTCGGTGGCCCATAACAAACTGACGAATACCAGCATGGCTAGACAATTCTGTTGCTCCGGTTTTTTCATGATCTTGACATACAGCAGTACGATGAAGATGGCCACAATAACAATGAGGGTGAACATCGTTGAGCTAAAAATCCATGCTGGGAGCCTAAATCTTCCAACTGGCGTGGTAAGCTCCTTCACGTCCGGAGTGTCGTAATCATCCCCTTGCAGACGAGCTTTCGCTGGATCGTTGTCTGCTCCAAGAAGCGTCCTCCTGATACCCATGTTTGCCGCCTGCGCTTTTCGTTCGATACCTATCATCTCTCGCCATACGGTATTCCGCTCCCAGACAACATGTTCCCGAAGATGCAATCTCAACTCTTTCTTCGCCAAAGCCACATCACCTTTAGTGACGACATCCGCATATGCTTTCTCCATCCGCGAGATATTCTCATCGATATGCCTTAGTGTCTCCGGACGAAAGGGGAATGCTGGAGAAACATTTTCCTCGACATATTTGGCTTTGAGGTTTCGGTCCAGTATCTTGTCGTATTTCTTCAGAACCTTCGTAAATCCAGTCTTGTTCAACTGAACAAAAGATTTCAGCTCGCATAACTGCACATAAAGACTGATTGCCCGCTTCTTCAATGTAATCCCAGATGAATAGAGGTATTCAAACGCCTCATTTGCGTAGTCATCATAATTCTGACTATGCCTCCGTATCGACTTGCTGAATTCTGTGGAAGCCCTCATATCTTCAGCTTGCTCGGAACGGCCGGTATTTGCATCGTATGGTGTACTCTTGCTCCTTCCTGTGGACGGTCTGGCTGCTTTCTGTAGCGCCGTGTTCTCGTCGTCATCATCATCACTGTCCTCGACCCCTTCGTCGATAGAGCGGCTGATGGTACTGGCTCTCCTCTGCCGGTTTAGAAAACTTCGAAATATGCTCCCGGTACGTGGCCTATCACTCACACGTCCACTCGTGCCAGGCCTCCCCTCCGCGCCGTCTAAGTTGTCCAGAGCTTCGGCCTCATACGATTCTTCATCCTTGAGAAAATCGGAGACCTCCCCGTAAATTTCCAGCTCCTTCAGTTGGTAGAATGAGGATATCTTTTCGAGCTCGACATCCAGCGCTCTTTCAAAGATTTGGTCGGGATCTTCATTCGTGGGTATTAAAGGGGAGCGTTCGACATCGTCAGCGGTGCCTGGTCTGTGGATGGTCTTTTCGAGCTGGTATATTCTGGACAAGGGTGTCGGTTAGGAAAAGTTCCTGCGCAATGCCGGGAGAGCTTACAGCTTCTTCAAATTGCTGTACGCAATATAATGGCTGCTCCAGTCCGGAACAGCATTGAACTGGATGCTGTGTGAGAACTTCATCTCGTCGGCCGCTTCGAGCTCGCCAATCTTCTCCGTGCGCTTGGCTTGTCGTTCGAAGTATCTGGTGTCCCTCTTCTGTCGCTGCTCTATGCCCGCGTAGTCGGCAAGTTCGTACTCTTCGAAATCTGCGAGCTGGTGCTGGCGCGGCGCAAGACTCCCTCCTCCAACCGGTCGCTTCGAGTTCTCCTTAGTGCGAGGGTCCGAGTCGCCTATGTCTGGTTCAGAGGAGGGATGAAGGGGTGGAATTGATGATGCTATTGTGAAGACTCGTGAATGTGTGAGATAGATCGCAGGTGGGCAACATGTCGTGGTGGGTCGCGTCGTCGTTAGTGCGCACAGGACTCGAGGCTGCCTTCCATCCCGGCGACCTGGGAATGAGGTCAAGTGTCGAGCAGTTCGGGTGTTGATTTGCGGAAGGGACCTGTCAGGATCGACGCGTGGCTGTGAAGCGTGGCTTTGAAATGCAAAAAGGGACCAACTGTGGCGCTCACAGCAAGCATGTTCTCTCCGTCATCTTCTGATTCGTTAAAGGTTAAAACAAACACCAAGGAGCCCCGTTCCGCTCCGCTCCGCTCCACCCTTCCCTCTTGGCAAAAAGCGCATCAGAAACGTGATCTCTGAACTATCCCCATTCAATTCCGCATTCTCACCCACCTTCACATCCAGAGTGCCAACTTTGCCCCAATATCCCGCAGGCTAACTTTCTCACATTTAATTATCCTCAAATCAAGTCTTCGTCTCGATTCCCTTGTCGCCGAGAGCCAGCTCAATCGAGGCCATTTCGGTGGAATTTGGGAGACTTTTGATCGGAAGCAGATCGCAATCCCCGGCATCGAGAACAACTCGCACACCGGTACTTATTCAAGATATACTATGTCCACAATGCCGTTGTCTCCCGGCTGGATAGTGCTCTTCACCGGATGACGTAGGATCCTGGTAGCGTTTTATATTACAACCCATCCCATTGGATTGTCGTTGGGATAAGGTCCAGACACGCGAATCTTGCCACCAAAGTGATATCTTCGTTGTGATTTTAGGCGGCCAAGAGGTGTGGGTGAGAGGCACGGCTTCGTTCTATCTCCTAGAAGGCTCGGTGCGAGGGTAGTACCTCCGATTCTACTGAGAAGCTTTGAATACAGCACGAATGACACAAATGTTGGTTTGAAGGGGTGAATATTATTGTCGTGGCAAGACACTGCACGGGGCTCTAGTTTGGAGTTTCGCTACTTACGATGATGCACTCTGTCCGAACCGGATTCTGGTAATATAGATACAAAGATTTGTTTTTCCAAGATTTGATTCCGGTGTAGTTGTCGAGGCAAGTCTGAGAGGTTTCTTGGGCGTAGAATATTTACGTGAATAAACTCATTACCTCGATCTTTCCAACCTTCCAAAGCACCCTCATATTCGCTGCCACGACATGTGGACTTCCTTCTGAGGTAGCCTATGACTCAACGGATACGCGACGTCAATATTTAAAACCGATTACGCTTTCTTTTCGATTTATAGTCAATTACATAATATAAGAGAGGTTTTCACGACACCCAAATATTCCATGGCTACCACAACCAAGAAGACTCTCCGCGAGATTAACATCTCTGGCACCGATTTCCATACCGAAGCAATCTCAACGAGCTTAGATGATAAGGTATGATTATGTCATAGAACAAGACACAAAAGCTCTGCTAACCCTGCCAAGAAATCCATTTCGCGACTACGCATTGCAATCATTGGAAGTGGAGTCTCTGGTTTTGCTGCACTTTGGGGTTTGAAAAGCACCCAGCACGAAATACATTTATACGAAAGCCAAGACTACTTTGGTGGGCACACCCAAACTGTAGAATGGAGGAATCTCCACGGAGAAGGAACAACAAACGTTGGCATCGCCTTCGCCCTATTCAACTGCCTCACATATCGTAAGCCTCCCGACTCTCACTTGCCAACGTTCTAACGAAAATCCGCAGCAAACTTTGCTGCCTTCGTCAAGCATTTAAAGCTCCCGGCCCACCCTCTGAGAGTGACATTCGGTCTAAGTAGGGATAGCGGATCCTTAGAATGGTCCTCCCGCTCCATCTGCACCCTCTTCTCACAACGTCAAAATTTCTTCTCCCCCACCTTCTATCGGATGCTCTTCGACGTGTTGCGTTTCAACCACCGCGCTTGCTTAGTCCTCTCCCCTTCTTACGCCTATCCATCGGACTCTATCTTTGACTACCTTAACCAAAACCAATACTCCTTAGCCTTTCAAAACGGCTACTTGATCCCACTGGTCTCAAGCCTTTGGGTCCACGACCCAGATCAAACATTAAATAGCATTCCGATGGTGATGCTGATTAGGTATCTACATAATCATCGCATATTGAACAGTTTTGGGAAGAGCCTGGAGTGGTTAGTTCTTGAGCAGGGTGCGAAACAATACGTCGATGCTATCCTAGCTGATATCCCTTCCGAGCGATTGCACAAATCGACTCCCATTATAAATGTCTCGTCTTCGGAAGGAGGGAAACTTGCCTTGCGTTTAGAAAACCGGAATGTGGAATACTTCGACCGTGTGATAATGGCAACACATGCACCTGATGCTCTCAACATCCTGGGTTAAGACGCAACGCCCCTTGAACGAGCCATTCTGGCTACATTTCGAACGAGCTCCAACACGGTGGTGCTGCACTCTGATATCTCCGTACGTATCTCTTTCTCTTCCCAATCCCATGATACACATGATTGTCAGACAGCTTATGAGAACATAGTTCATGCCCCGCAACCGCAAAGCATGGTGTGCGTATAACTACCACGACTTCACCTCATCCAAACTCTCCCCGTCTCGGGTCTCTTTAACAGCAAACCTCAACACCATCCCATCCCACGACATTCTGCTCACAGGCCCAATCTTCACGACGTTGAATCCCATCCATCTCCCTTCTCTGTCCACAATCCAAGGCATTTACCACCACAAACACCCCATCTTCGACCACCAGGCCCAAACCGCCCAAGCCGAAATGGGGAAACTTCAAGGGAAGAGAGATATTTGGCTTGCTGGTGCGTGGTTGGGGTATGGGTTTCATGAAGATGGATTCAGGAGCGGGATTGAGGCTGCGAGGGCGATTGAGCCACGGATTAAATTGCTGTTTCGGATTGTGGATTGGAATAATAGAGTGAGTATTGAGGGCAAGGGGAGAGGGTGGGGAGGTTGCCTGCTTGGAGTTTTCATAGGGGTTGTGCAAGAGGTGATTTTGGCGTGGGTTTGGTGTTCTGGGTGCATTTTTGGAAGGGAAGAAAGGAGGTAAAGAGGGAGGGGGAGCTTTGAGAGTTTTTGGATGTTAGATGTTGGTTATTGCCAGAGCTGAGAGCTTCCTCTTGCTATTTTGAGGTGTTTTGTCAAGGCGTTGCAGTGGAAAGAGAGAAGTATTGAGAATGGAGTGGATCTATCGGTACGAAAGGAGCTCAGAGGATGAGCGATGAGTGATCTTCAAGTCTACGTATCAAATTTGCGGCGAACTAGAATCGTCTGGCAATTTGACGAATGATTGACCGTCTCCCCTCGACTCAACGCAATGTTAGCCATTTCCCCCTCTACCCTGAACTTCATTCATACTTGCAAAAACAAATCCAACCCTTAAAATCGTGGAATCAATAAACTCAGAAGCAGGTTTTCGATCTCTAATTTCGACTGTCCCTTTCTTTGTTCATCTCTTCTTTGTCATAGTGACCTTCCAAACCACTCAACCCATCATATCCCCTCCCCTAGATCAAAAGGTCGAAGTGCATACATAGCAGATATCTATGATCAAATATCACGTGTTTTTGTTGCATATCTTATCCTGCCAAAGATTTCTACTGCTAATTAGTAAAGAAGGCGACGTCGAATCGAATGGTCGAATGGTCGAGGCGAATTGGCCATTCAACGACGAAATGATTTAATCGACTCCACTTACGCTACCCCTCGCCCCCCCCCCTATTCACCCACAGCGGTACCAAGAAACCCTTGTTTATAGCTTCAAACAAACACGATAAAATGAAACTGGAGTTGTGGTATGGATCGGGGTACATCGTCACGTGCTTACCCCGCACTCAAGATCGTTTAGCCTTCATCCCACCTTCATCTTTCTTTCTTCCCATCACGGCTTTCATTTCCCAATCGATCATCGGCTTACCCACTTGAGACCTTACGAGAAAGATGCAAGAAGTCATGCGCCACAACCGTACCTCGGGGGGATGATCGGATCGATGTCTCGCCGCCTCACCTTAATTTGGGTTGCACAACAGGAGCCATTTCCTGTAACAGTGCAGCCTTCGTTAGAAACGGATCCTTCAAGATCAAGCCATTCTCCCGTTGAGGTTGCAGTTCAGCAAGGCTAGAGTGCAGCACCAAGAGAGGTTGATTGGAGTCATGCCTGCCACGCTGCATACCCCGCAGACTGTACACCTTCAAGTGACTGTTTTTGTACCACAAGACCTAAAAATTAGGGAATACTTTAGGACGAAGTTCGGCTATATGACTATTTTCGGGTTACATTCCGTAAGAGACACAACATGTTGCCCAATCGCAGATCGAATGTGAAGCATGGCCCAGTACTAGTTGACAATAGTGTTGGATGCAAGGTCGGTAGGGAAGTGTGCAACCATACCTTGTGCATCAAGAACCACCTCGGTTGAAGTCTTACAGAGTTCATGTTCCAAAAGGGCTCTCAATCTGAGATGTCTATAAGATGTCCAGCTTCCAACTCTTGTTCTGTTCATCTATAACCTTATCTAACCCTTCAGTCTCCTTACTGTTTACAGAAGTCCCTCAAACCGCGTTAGTTCCAAAATGCATCAACTAGCTTCTAGTCATAGAACTGCATCCTTATTTCTTGCCACTGTTTTCCTATTTGCGGGAGCTATTGCAGCACCAGTTATTATACCACGGCAAAGTATAACTGTTCTCTCCGCATCTCAGATCTCGACGTACAAGCCTTACACGTATTTTGCAAGTACTGGATACTGCAGCGCCGCTGTGACCAAAGCTTGGAACTGTGGAGGTAAGTATCTGTGATACCTTTGCAACCCCAAATATACTGATTACTCTGAAGCGAACTGTAATGCAAACGCCGGCTTCGAGTGGGTAGCTTCAGGTGGAGATGGGGATAACATCCAATACTGGTTTGTGGGATACTCCCCAACCCTGGAAGAGATCATCGTGTCTCACCAAGGCACCGATACAAGTGCATTGTAAGATCAGAGGTCCTCATAGAAATATTCTTCACTGACTCAGAAATTCTACAGACTCCCGGTCCTCACGGTACGTTGTGCTTGGTATTCATTTGCAAATAAACCTCTTACTAACAATGTACCTCAGGACGCCGACATTGATCAAGTGAATCTGGACTCTGCGCATTTCCCTGGAATTTCTAGTTCAGTTAAGGTTCATGACGGGTTCGCGAATGCACAGCTCAAGTAATTCCACACTCCGACGAGGGAAAGGAATGATGTGGCTAACGAGCAATAGAGCTGCGGAGAGCGTGCTCGCCGCTGTAAATACCGCATTGAGCAAATACCCAACTACGAAAGTCACGTTGGTTGGGCACTCGTTGGGTACGTCGCATCTTCATAGCAAAAGTGCAAACCTGACAAGTGATTATCTAATTCATTTAGGCGCTGCCATCTCACTTCTTGACTCTGTCTATCTTCCTCTTCATCTACCCTCCACTATAACATATAAGACCATAACCTACGGCATGCCACGAGTGAGTTGTCTCCCATCCACTCATGTCTCTCCCCCTCAGTCAGAAGCAGTAACCGCTGACCTCCCCAGGTCGGCAACCAAGAATTCGCCAATTACGTAGACGGAAACACACACATCCACCTGACGCACATTAACAACAAAGAAGATCCTGTCCCAGTTCTTCCTCCTTTATTTCTGGGATATATCCAGCCAGCTGGAGAGATTCACATTCAAGATTCAAATGCGTGGGATAATTGTCCTGGTCAGGACAATGGGAGCGATAAGTGCAGCACGGGGGATGTACCGACGATTTTTGAGTGGGATGTCAGTAACCACGATGGGCCGTATGACGGTGTTAGTATGGGATGTTGAGATCGTACAAGACGGAAACGAGTTGTAGGGAAGCGAGAGAAAAGGAACCATCACGTGATCAGATCTCCGATCTGTCGCATAATCTATTTGGAATGTGAGGACTGAGGGGCAGCAATTACAAAAGAAATGATTTTCGAACGTACCCTTATCTTTTGGCCTATTTATTACTGGCTTGATCACCAATGCTTTGATATGCTTTCATGCCCAGCAGGTCACTCGCCTAGGGGTTGCTGACATGATGATATCATCACTTCAAAGCATCTCGGCCGCCGCCGCTCAACCCGGACTATGCTTCCTTCAAACTGTGTTAGTAGCTAAATGATACTGCGACATAGTTTGCAGTCTGATAAGGGATGTTCTTCAGATGTTTCGATGACACGAGACATATGGGCCCGAGACTCAAGCTTTCGCTAACAGCGGGACGATTCAGGGGCAATTCTTTAACTACGCAGAATTATTACCCTATTCCTAAACGTTAACGGTTCCCAATCTCATTGGCCATTTTACATGAAATTGTTATTCATCACCTGACTTACCCCACGTTCTGTCTCGTGAGCAATCGCTATTAGCTAATGCCGCCAGCCTAACGAGGCAAGGCGTCCATAAATCCTCAAATAAGGAAAAATGTCTTATCATGCGGAAGCTCTTATCAGCTCCACACGTAAATTCTGCGCGCCACTATCAACGTACCGTCTCCGTCCCATGCCGCCCAAACAAAAGGAAGGAAGGTAATCTCGTTTGTTACACATAGTCGTTACTATCTTTATGTTAAAGATTGCAGTGAGGAAGTTTGCTTTTCTTTCAATTTATTCTCCCTTTCCTTTACTTCTGCATTCTCTTCTCTGTTGTCGTGCCGCAAGGTTTTGTGTGCGGTGAAAAAGTTACACGCGACGAGGTACCAGTACTACCGGACTTCTCTCCGTGCGTTCCGGAGACACGTTCCACCGATTTGGAGCTCCCCAACACAAGATGAGCGATATCAAAGTTCCAGAAATTGATCGGGAGAAGGAGGCTTATACGCCGGAAGAAAACACGTTGGGAGTTGTCACTGAAATTGTGAATGCGTCCGGTCATCGAGATCAATTGGACAGACAATATGGGATATTGAGTATCTGCGGTATGGCATTGACGGTAGACAATGCTTGGGTCGCAATCGGAACATCTTTGAATGTTGCTATTTGTAAGTTCTGCCAAGCTGGGGACACACACTCCTGTGCTGACTGCTCGTTTGCCAGTCAATGGAGGACCCCCCGGCGTTCTTTTTGAGCTTCTCATTGCCTGTTTCTATTATTGCTTCATTGCTGCATCGATAGCTGAGGTATGTCTTCCAATCATATCATCAAAATGGGAGAGAAATCTGATCAGATTTCCTGCAGTTGGTTTCGGCCGTTCCTTCCTCGGGAGGTGTCTACCACTGGGCATCCCTAAGCCCCGGCCCTAAATATGGCCGCGTACTCGGGTTCTTCACCGGTTCATTGAACTTCTTCGGTTGGCTGTTTGATCTGGCGTCGATCGTATACATCATGTCGGAATTGGTGGTGCAGATGTATGGTCTCTATCACCCGAATTATGTCCAACAGCCGTGGCACGTATTCGTGGCACTGCTGCTCATTACTTGGATTTGCATTGCCGTCACGATATTTTTCAACAAATACCTACCGTATCTCCAACAGTTCGGATTATTTGTGGTTCTTGTTGGTGGTATCGCCACGCTGATTGTTCTGGCTGCGATGCCCAAGAAACACTCAACCAATTCTTTCGTTTGGACCGACTGGCAGAACAACACAGGCTGGCCGAGTGGTTTTGCCTTCCTGGCAGGTGTTTTGAATGGCGCCTTTACCATCGGAACTCCGGATGCAGTTACGCACATGGCCGAGGAGGTGCCGCACCCGAGAAAGGATCTTCCCAAGGCTATTGCGGCCCAGATTATCCTCGGGTCGATCTGTACGTCTACATTCGCTTCCATCTTTAGAGTTAAATGGAGAGCAAACGCTAATATGTGACCCCGCAAACAGGCGCTTTCGTTTTCGCCATCGCACTCTTCTATGGAATCAACGATCTCGATGCAGTGCTGAATGCCAGCGGCGCATTCCCCCTGGCTGAGATTTATATCCAAGCAACCGGAAGCACAGGGGCAACATTTGGGCTCTTGTTCATCATCTTCCTGTCTCTGGGGCCCTGCTTGATCGGAACCTTCCTCACGGTTGGTCGAACATGGTGGGCACTCGCTCGTGACAACGCAACCCCATTCTCCGGATTCTTCTCCAATGTCAACGAAGGTCTCAGTTGCCCAATCGAGTCAACCATCTTCACCGGGATCATGACCACTGCTTTCGGCGCCATCACCCTTGGAAGTCATGCAGCTTTCTCCGATCTTGTTGGTTCATTCGTTATCCTCACCACCACATCATATGCTCTAGCCATTGGAGGACATCTCTTCACTGGCCGCAAGAACCTTCCACAAGGCCCCTTCTGGATGGGCAAGACAGGTTACGCCATCAACGCAATTGCAGTCATCTGTATCATCTTCTTCAACATTATCTTCTGTTTCCCGTATGCGCTTCCGGTCGCCACTGCCACAATGAACTACAACAGCGTTATCCTGGTGGGCGTCACATTCTTGACAACTATTTGGTGGTTCGTGCATGGAAGTGGGAAATACCCAGGACCCAAACTCGGAGGCTTCATCGTCACGGAAGAGGGCAGACAACTTGCCGAGAAATAAATTGGGCTTATATATTGCGATACCACATTAGGAGAGCCTCTAATGTCGAGCTCTGTCATAGATACCTTTGAAGTTCTTTGCGAACACGTCTGTCTTATTAGGGGCCAAATTTGTAGGATTACAGTACACTAGACTGATTTTAATTCTCAATCGAGTTGGATCTGGAGTCATCACTTTCAGTTCCGGATTCTCCGGTAATATTCAGTTTCATTTTCAGACACGCGTTACGTTAAGTGGGAGAAGTTTCTCCTTCCATACTTAGCAAGATCTCGCAATTCATCCTTTCAATCCGGGGAAAGTACCTCGCCCCAAGTCCAGGTATCGATCCGGACCGAAGGTTCTTGGCGGTATAAACCCCCCGCTGTTGAGGATTTGAGTTTCAAGACCCATGCTCAGACGACCGCGCCAGGAAGCTGCCCGTGCTCCCTCACCATCGGGCATTTCCCCATATCCCCACGAATAAAGGTCAGACGATCGCCGCTGCGATAATGCATGCTATACTGCACACATGTATGGCTCAAGCCGTTATCCCGCTGCAGTTGCAAAATTCCTGCTGCGTGCCTATAGCCGGTTTGATTCGAAATGCAATTGAAACCCTTAAAAAACCCCTACCATATTAATTAATATGAATTATATTAATATAAATTAAATTAAATCTTATAGCAATTAATTCCCTATTCTTAGATTTTTAATATCTTTAATATAATAAGAATTTCAAAGCACGTAATTTTTTAATAAAAGCTTTTTATATTTTAATATTATATAACTAGTGTTTTTTATTAAAGACACATTACTTATAATAACTCGAAATAGATATAAAATAAAATAATTAATTAGCCTTAAAGTTTATATAAAGCTTTTAATTAATAATTATAATAAAGTAAATTTAAATAAGAGCTATAATAATTTATAAAGAGAAATAAAAGGTTTTATAATAAGAATAAAGCCTAAAAGAATTTCTAGGGAAAAAAATTATAATTAAGAAAAAAAGCTAAATAGCTTTATAAAATAGTTTTATAAATAATAATAGAGCTTAAAAGAATTATATATATATAAGCTCTAAAAGTTATGAAAAAAAAAATTATATAAAAATTATAAATAAAAGTAAAGCTTAAAAAAATTATAAGAAAAAATTATTATATTAAAAAAAATTCAAAAAAAACTACGAGCTTCTATATATACTAACTAATAAGAACCTTATAATAGGTGCTATATTATAAGAGATAAGAGAGAGAGCTTATAAGAATACGTCACGTGATTCTCTTAACCTCGAATCGAGGTCACGGCAAAATTATTACCAGCCCCGGAGCTTGCGTAGTGCCCAGTAATAAGTTCAGCCAAGTGGCCGAGACCTCGCTGTATCTATTAGTATTAATTTATCAGAGTTGTGTTTAAAAAGTTGTAGTTGTAAAAGGGTAACCGGTTTACGGCTTTTAGGTCGGACCGACTAAACTATATATTAGGAAAGCCGTTACGGTTCATCCCATGTTTTTACAGTATCCATAGTGAGTGTTGCTGTTAAACCATGTTTTGATCCAATAGCAAATTTACCATTGATATGCATTGGTAATACTCTATTCTGCCAACAAACACAGATCGTGCGCTTTGAGTTCGCGTACACTCCAAGCTTCTTATGATATCTGTCTACGAGTTTGTTATAGCTTGCACGTCTATTTATCGCGGCTGGGCAAATGAAGTGATTATGCCAAGTGGGAACGGTACCTATATATATAGATCCCTTCCCCAGAGTCTGAGGCTGGACCTAGTCCAGTTTTTATCATCTTCAGTTTTGCAATAATCCCAGTTGCGATATTCCCGCTTGCCGTGTTGGCAATGAGGGCTCAATCTTTGCTCATGGCGGTAGTGTTGATGTACTCTCTAGCGAGCTGCCTTCCGCGTGTTGACAATGAGGTTCGCGACGTGGACTCGGTCGCTCAAGTTGATGTAGCCGATGAAGAATCAAACTTGCCAACTTCGGGTGCTAGTTCCTCTCCGTCAAGAGGTGGCGGAGGTGACTCTGGAGGTGGCCAAAGACTGGGCGGAAAATCAGGAGGGGGTCAAACACAATGCGGTAGTCAGGCACCGGCGAGCAACAATCCTCCTGCTAAAGCGCCAGTAAGTTTTATTCATATCCCTGTTCTCTGTAGTTACACCTGAGTCAAGAGTGTGGTGGTTATCTCCCACTCCATCACTATCACTTTTTCTGTGTGTTCCAGAAGCAAGACGGCTCAACACCTCTTGGCCCTCTAATTGTTCTTCACCATTTCAATGCTTAACTCACCGGGCAGCAAATCCACCCACCACCGTAAGGCTTACTCTTCTTTCACTCTACGAACTTTTTCATGAGAGCTGGCTCCAGCAGGAGCCGTGATCCCTTCCTTGTCTTAAGTCTTAGGAGACAACTCCGAGATTCTCAGCTCCGTCGGACCCTTTTCGTATACACAGCGCTAACTTATGGATTAGAAGACCACAAAGTGGAGGAAATAATGGCGGTGATGGTGGTGGCGTCGACGGCAGTAGGAGCGACTCTCCGCCAAATGATAACAATCCTTCTGCTCAACAACCCTTCAGGCAACAAGAGTGCTCGGAACAGCAGCAACCTCCGAGGGGACTCCAAAGCGTCAAGTTTACGTCACTATACCAATTTCTCAAATCCCACACATCACAATACCTAGAGCTCATTATTAGCTCCACGCAACTATATATGTATGTCTCCAAGTCCTTGACTTGAAGGGCTAGCCGCTATTGTCAATATATCTCCAATCCAACATATCCCCCACTCCGGTATGTTGGAACTGAGTGTACGTTGGTACACTGTAGTTTATATACCGAATGTATATATAGAGTGCTTACCCCGCGTGAGCTGAAAAATCAAGTCGTCAACCTCCAAAACATTGCAATACGGTAGAGCGTACCAATAAAACAGCAGCCTTCTGGACAATTAGAGAACCCCCACCACGCCAAAGCGAGCAAACACCTGGAAGACAATCACTCCCATATACTCGTAATCGGGGCAATAGAAATCCACCTCACAATACCCGCCATTTTTTGAACCCTTACCATAATCAACCACCGCCTGCCCATGCCAGCCACTATCCCGAATCCACGAACCGAGAGGTAAGGGGGGAAATAAGTTTCAAGGTGTCTTTTTGAAGCCGCTAAACTAAGGTTGAGTATTTTAGGCCTCCTCTCCCTCGTTCCACACAGTACTAAGTGCCTCCCGGGCAAACGCAGTATACCCAGGTCAACCACAACGCACTACCTCCTATCGACCGGTACCTACAGCCCAGGCTCCTTACTATACCTACCACTGGTCTGAGAATACTTATGTTATAGTCTATGAAAGCAACGCTTACCACTGGGCGCCGACCTTTGTTGTGCCGAGTAATGCGCAGTCAACTGGGTCTTACTTTTTCTCTATATTTGTACCACCGACTTCAACCGGGGTCGAAGGTGATCTTACCTATCCCATGAAAGTCTTATCTTTTCCACATTTCTAATAACTCCTGTTACGAAAATCCCGGGGCAACTGCCGCGGCGAATCAACGGACAGACGACTGTCCAGTGCCATATCACTTCTGAGTCAACAGCTTCTACTATAACGCTACCTGTGTTTCCTTGACCGTCAGCTACAACGGAGGAACTTTCCTCTGTCCCAACGCTCCTTCTAATGAAATTATCTACAACGGGGTGTGCGATATGTATTGCGACGACGACGGACTAGTAAGAGTTATCACAGACGGCTATTCGTGGCTGACGATCTGCGAGTGGTCTTGGTAGTTGCCAATTCCTCGGGACGTCGCCCAAGCAACCAAAATACATCCGTACAGCGATATTACTAACTATCGTTAAAATCGCGTTTTTAGCGAGAACCACAAATCACTTCGAACGCGTGCACCCACCGAGTTCCATAAATCGATACCTCTTAATTTCTCAACCACCACTTATTAAAAACTCCTGAAACTTCGTATATATCTGGGGGGCTATGCCTCCTACTCGCCATTCAAAGCGCGTGCAAGGGAAATCACCAGATCAGATACTTTCCTCCGGCCGGGCGCGAAAACCTCCTAAATCCTCACTTGCCGCATTCGACGCGTCAAGACCACCTCCCACTACTTCCAATCGTGGTACCGGGCGTCGAAAGGCTAAAAGACGACCGGGGGCATTATCTCCTATATCTCTTGCTCTTGCTCCTGAGCAAATAGCTCGTGGATTAACCGTTGACCTCAATAGCATTCCCTTGCAAGTTACCTCTCCGGTCACAGCTTCATTAACGGCGACTCCTTCCAAAAAGGGCAAAAATCAAGCTATTATACCGCCTTTCGATCCGACTAGCTATTAGGACAAAGAACCTCATTATATGGAAATTATAATTATACCGAATATAGAAGGCAGAAAAAAGGACCGAGATTTGATTATTATTGGTATTAATTTGAGTAATTACTTTCGTAATAAGCTTGACGCTTTTTAAGACACCTTTTATAATAATTACATTAAGGAATGGGAAGAAACTCGTAATCTTATAGGTAGTAATAAGCCTAGAAAGCTCTATTAGGCAATAATAATTAGTAATCCAAAGGGTAACTATAAGATAATACGAGTAAGGGACCAGAAATTATAGGAACTTATTGAGGCTAGCCTCCGTTAAATAAAGCACCTTGGTAATTATAAAAACTGTAATACTCTTATAATTAAAGCTTTCTTTAAGATTATTAATCGAGCTTATACTCCGGAAGACCTAAAAGCTATAAATAAAGCTCGACCGAATATTATATAAGAAATGCCACTTTATGATTTAATAAACCTACCTTTAGATAACGTTACTAAGAACTACTTCCCTAATAAACCTGCCCTCCCTATATATAAGACTTCTGCTCCGAAACCTCGAGATTCGATTACTAATTAATAGCTTGCCTAAAAGGCCATACGAGATTCGAGTACAAGCGCAAAGGAGGCTATCCGTTTATAGATCTTTAATATATACCTTTATAGAGAGGAAGGAATTTGTAATAATACTAGAGGTTATTACTATAAACTAAAACGAAGCAGGACTTACTATAAGGTTTCTCTTTTATAATAGGATAAGTAGGCAAAGTATATTATTATTAGTAATAAGAGTATTACTATTAATAGATCCTTGCCTAAATAGATCGCGAAATATTAAGATAGGTGAAATAAGATAACTATAAAGAGAGGGAAACGTAAAGCTAATTCTGCCTAGCCTACTATTGAACTAGTACTTTTTTTACCTATATAACCTCAAGCTCCGGTTATAAACTATAATATAGCGCTAGTTTTACCTGCTCCGATTTAATTAAGATTTAGCTATAGCTATAGGAACTCTTATTCTTATCCTTAACGAACTTATACTCAATTATATTAATCCTATTAACTCAATTACTAGTAAGCCCCCCCGCCTTTATTACCGATTTAGGGAGTTAATAATAAAGAAGCCTTAGCAAAATATAAAGAATTCCTGCTCTAGAATAAATCTAATCCTCCTTGCTATTAAGTAATTAAAAGTAGTATAGACGTGGTATATATATAATTCCTTAATAATCTTGAGATACTAAAGTTACTAGTAATTATAGAAACTCTTGAGAAATATAGGGTTTCTTTAGGAATTACTATATTAATTATTAAGAGGATATCCGAATTTAAGAGGATATATAATGGATAAGTAGAGTTAATAGTAGTATAAGAACTTATTAGTATAGGCAATTCTCGATTAATTATAAATTAACTAATTTAATAATTATCTTTCTAGTCTACCTTATAATATACTTACTAATCCGAAGGGTATAATAATAGAGAGGATAATCCTATATGGGATAAAGAGATGGATTACTTTAATAATTACTAGTAGGGCATTTACGGGAAATTATTATTAGAATAATAGGCGAAGTAGTAATATATAAGGTTTTATATAATTGGGTTTAGAAATAAAGTTATTTTTTATGTAAAATAATTAAAAAGCTCAAAAATAGATAGTTATTAGGGTAGATATAATTTTAATAATATTGGATATTTTAATTCAACTTTTTTGGGCTATTAATATATATAAAAAATGTTTTCTTTTTATAAAAATCTATAAACTAAGGATATTAAAAAACTAATTAATTAGTGAATTTTATATTAAATAAGACTAAATAATATACTTTGCCTATTTACTTTATATTTATTTCTATAAAAAGATATAAAATATAGAGAATAAAAAGGCTAAAACCGCCCTAAAATTAATCTAATTATCTAGTATCCCATATATTCCTATATTTCTGAAATATCCCCTAGCTTAATAAGTAGCCCCCGTACTAGTACTAACCTCTCTTATAGCCTATTTCAAGAAGCCTCAATAAGTTAAATAGTTCGGATATTTGCGGTAATAATAGCGTTAAATAAAGGCCTTTAAGATACTAAAGGACTTCTTAATAGAGTTGAAATCGGGCGAGTAGGGTAATAGAAAGCGTACCTAAATACCTCTTTGCCTATAAGCGTTAATAATTATATATTAATGAGATTAGTATACTAAAGCGTTATTTATTATAATAACTAAATAAGGACCTGGATATAGGTTATAGAAAGAGAGGAAATTATTAATAATAAAGTCTTTAAAGATATCTACTATATAGGTACTATAAAAGGTTACTAACTTAATATATCCCTTAATTATATATATTAGGAGAACTAAGACTCTTTCTCTTTTGGCTAGCTACCGATAAACTCTAGTACGAATCCCTAAATTAGCCCACTTATATTAATGATCTCCTATTTAATTATTACTTCCTAATTTATCTACGTAAATGATTTAATTTATAGTAAAGTATTAAAGGTCGTTTCTCTATTAGATGCGTAATTCCTTATTTCTTTATATTACCTCGACTTTTAACCTCTTTTATATAATCTTTATTCTTTTGAGAACCTGAGATATTATAGACTAAGAGACTTCTATATTAAAGACGTCAAATAAGAACTTAGTAATTTCGTCTTAGTAATACCACGGTATCTGATCTAATAAATACTTAATAGCTTATTCTATTAGCCAAGTAATTATCCGGCGAGGACCGCCTAAAGGTTGTCCAATACAAAATCCGGTATTAATTCGTCTCTTATATTAATATATTATCTGGATAGTCATACGGTAGCTCGATACTAGCTATGCAATATATGTGGAAGTAATTAACTCGGGTGGTTCGCAAAGAGTATCTTTAATCCGGGCGACTTGGATTATTGTTAAGTAATAAGGTATCTGTACTACTAACCCAGTTAGCAAAAGGTAGAACTAGATGCCCCCATTAAATATATCAACTTTCCTTCGTAATTGGAGTTGTGGTTGTTGAGTAATTCGCGGAATTGTAATTGATGGTGGTGAGTAAACCGAGGTCGACGCGTGTTTTGTGTTCTCGCTTAAAAACGCGATTTTAACGATAGTTAGTAATATCGCTGTACCACGAACAAACGAAACACAGACCGGCTGAGAATCTCCCTACATTGAAAGTCGCCTCAAAGTACACGAGTTCCGACACAACTCTCCACTGCGAAAATGATGACTCGTAAGTACTTCGCATAACCCTGTTGTCCTACCATTGCTGACAAATACTCAAGTGATGGAATAACCTGCACTCAAATCGGACAGGACTTTGCAATCGATCTGCAATCCTTCAGCATCGGTGGCGACATCGGACTCGAGCCCCTCGACGTTAACGGTATCTGGCTTCCAAACTATCCTCAGCTTCAATATGTTCAGCTTATCGTCACGCGTCTCGGTCCCGTATGGCCACCCTAGGCTTAAGACAGGCTCCACTGCTTATTGTTCATGTGATTCTCCTTACTTTCTTATATTTAGCTTCACTCTCTCCTCTAGCTAGCTCTCCAATTGATCATAGTTCAAAGCAGCTGACAGACTTGCACTGAAGCGCCAGCTCCTATGATTGCTGACGCTCCAACAACTGTTTATTATATTGTATCTTTGGAGGTATAGTGATTCCGCAGGGACCTTTCTTCACTTCATATTTAATTCCTCGCCCCCCCCACCACACCCCTCAATCCAAAGCATTAGGGGTCTCGAACTATACCCAATAACTAGGATTTTTTGGTAGTGCAATATGTATTTGACTAATGCCCCAAAACCTGATTCCAACGGTATTTACTAGGCGTAGGGATAAATGGTGACCGACCCGGCGACATCCCAGTGACCACTTGGACGGGTCTCTTTAGACCACTGACATCTGCAAGCAACGGCGACGATTTGTTGCACCCGGATGCACAACAATGTGTATGCCGCTCCTACCTATTCCCTCGTTTATCCAGTGGAAGATTTACCAGCAATTTTCAAGCCCCTATTATTGAGACGGGTATTTAAGGCTGGTGTTACGCTGATAGATCATTGCGCGTTTGATTTGATTTGATTTGACAGTTATTTACGTCCGTGGGCGTGAGCCGACCTCCCGAGGGGTATGGGGACGTGCTAAGCATATAGGAATTACAAATAGAGTACTACTTGCAACAGGTGTCAAACCACAAGGGGAAAAAGACCCCCCATAACAAGTAATCCCGGGTCCCTAATCCCGCGGTATTATAGTGCCCCTATAGATCTTTGAAAGCATTTCAAGTTATATAGTACTATTACTAGCTCTCATTATAGGACTCTCTACGGCCGGTTAGAAGTCAGCCCTACGCTCGATACCAATTCCAATAGATTCCCGCCCGTCTATTCCCCTTCCGACTTATACCCTTCCCAAGAAGATATAACGTAGTAGTACTCGCAGCCGGTATTCTCGGATTATATCTGCAAGGTATTCTCTACTCATTTAATCCGATTAATTAAGGACAAAGGACCTATTACAAGAGGCTATTACGGGAGCCCGATCATCCAACTTGAGCGTCTATCTTCCCTCCTCCCCCGAGTACTCAAATACTATATCCCTTATACCCTCGTAGTCGTCGTTTAGAAAGTAGCCAGTCATAAAAGCGTAAAAAGGTTCAAGTTACGGGCAGAAGGCCACATTATAATAGCTATTTAACCTCGTAGTTATATCGATATAAGGAGGACAACGTATATAGCTTTGCGAGCTATAGTACCTCAACTAGTCACCTCGGTGACTGCGTCCTCTCTTTAGCTCAGTCGAATACTTGTTGAAAGTGTCGACAGTTCGTAGCCAGCGCCCCGTACAGGCAGAGAGGTCCGTCTTCGCTGACCGATCATTGCGCGTCATGACCCGTGGGGCTTGTATGGCTGCAATTGGCAGAAGGTCTACAGTTAGAAGAGAATAAGAAAATTGTCCCGAGTAAAGCGTTGCACCCCACGCCGTAGCGGGACGAAGTGGAAATTGGCTGTGAAAGAGGCGCATGACCTAATTCGCTTAATAGCCGAGTGGAAAAGGCGACCCAGGCTCTCAGGCGCCGATAAAAGAGGCCGAAATTGGCACGTGCGCAGAACACCAAAACTCGCTTTATTTACATGTAAACAACCCTCTTAATTATACTACCACTACGCTACAATGCCTCTAATTAGTACACGCAAGTCTCGCGCACGTCACTTTACTCCTCCTCCAGATCTTCTCTATGCAGGGAATCACACACACCCAAAAACGCCCTCACGATATGGTGTATTATGGGCCAAGGCCTTTGCATAAAAGCTAGGGATTACAATCTCTCAAGAAACGATTCGTGAGGTTACTAGTATTGCACCGCGCGTTCAGATACGAATCTTAGCCTCTAGGCAAGCTAGAACCCTTTACAATTAGCCTGATTCAGGGCCAGATCCACGTGGGAAAAAGAGAGGGCTTACCCGGTCCGATACAGCCGCAATTGCCTCCTATCTTGACGACGATAGCGTCTCACTAGATAATAAAGGAAAGCCTTGGCTTGATATTACAGAAGACGCTGGTGTAGAGCTACCACACACACTCCACTTCAAGCCCTCAGGCCTCCGTACGATCAACTCCAAACCCATTCAAAAAGCCTGCCTTTAAGACGAGGACATAATTAATGCGGTTTGCGAGGAAGAGAAGGAGTTAACGGAGCCACAAGCTATAAAGAGAAGAGATTGGTCCGCAGAACAGAAGGCTATACGCCCATATCCGCCAGATTGGGAAGACGTAGCGTTCTGTGACGAATTCCACTTTGGAATCGGTCCGCAAGTTACAAAGAAGATGAAGAGAAGGAAGGGGAGGGAGGAGCGATACAAGCCAGCTAACGTTTACCGGAAGAAGGTCACGTCAAAGGATACAAAGGCAAAGGCGAGAGAGGAGGAGCACTTGAAGCTTTTGAATGTCTTTGTAATTGTGGGCTTGAATTATAAGCGATATGTGTGGTATGAGGTAGATAACGACGTAGGGAAGATGACTACGGCAGTTTATACGGGCCATATACTTCCTATAATCAAAGACGAGCTCCTTATACGTGGCTTGACCTTATATCAAGACGCCGATTCGGCACATACGAGTAAGAAGACTCTCAAGTGGGCAAAGGAGCACGGCATATTACTTCTTACTCTTCCTGGTGTCTCTCCAGACCTCTCTATTTGCGAGACTATGGCCAATCCATTGAAAAGAGCCTTTCACGGGCGCCGGTCAGCCACAGAAAAGCAAGCGAAGGAGCGATTTATGCAAGTCTTTGAGGAAATGGACCAGGAGACTATTGATTATCAATATACTTGGTATACTAAGAGGTTATGGGAGTGTGAGAGGGCTAGTGGGCAGATGACTAGATACTAATTGAAGTGTGTTTTGGTGTTCTGCGCACGTGCCAATTTCGGCCTCTTTTATCGGCGCCTGAGAGCCAGGATGGGCTTGGCAACATCGTTAATGTGGCGCATGAGAGAGACAGCGATGCATGAATCTGAGAAGTTCTATGCTTTACTTCTTGCTAAGGTAATTGGTTGGTATCAAGGGGATATAAGTCTGATTAAGTCTCCTCCTTATTGTTGAGTGCAGGCACGTAGCTAACATTTGATTTTTTTTCCCCCAAAGAATTCTCCTTTCCTTGTATGGCGCAGCCCACAGGGAAGTTAGGTCCCTACATTGTGGATGTAACTGTTGAATACATACTTAGGGATCTTCAGATCAGAGAAAACGTCGAAGAACTGGTCAAGGTTGTGGGTCACGTGCTTTACTCGTTCCTGAAGTACCCCGCTGCCGTTACCCACACACGCAAACCCCATCTCATGTGACCCTGATCGCGATCCTTGCTTTCAAAGTATTAAAAAAGTTCTTCACGGGCTATATAAATTATGGGTATACATTATTTTGATTCTTAGCAGTCATTCATGTTTGCGCAGCTTGATTATCAAAGACTCGCAGGTTTAGGTACCCCAGCAGTGCCCAGGATACTAACCGACAGTATTTTAGCGAACCCCAATTTCTTCCCAACCGACAGCCGGACCCAAAGAGCGCTCTAAAGGCAAATGACCTGTAGAAAACTCCGAGAGACGCTGTTCCCAAAAGCGATATATATGGAAGTCAGGGTTTCATGTTCTGCAACATCCTTTTCGGAAAACCTCTAACGTCAGACAATAACTATGCGTCCTTTCCACATATCCGTCTCTTTTTCAATCGGTTTGCTTGGTACCGCGACTGTCCAGTTTGATTATCACTCTGGCCAATATCTCTTCGGTTCCTACTTTGGAATTTCCCTCACCAATGCTGCATATGATTACGTGGTTGTGGGAGGTGGAACGGCGGGGTTGGTCGTCGCCAGCAGACTTGCTGAAAATCCGAATATGACCATTGCTGTGGTAGAACTAGGAAGCTTCTACGAAACCAGCAATAGCAATCAAAGCCAGATCCCGATCTACTAAACGAAAATTGTCAGCGCGGGCGCATCCATGGATTGATTGGGAACTACCTACGGTTTCTCAGCCGGTAAGTTTACTTTGCAGAGACTATTTTCTACTGGCCGTTTTTAGTCTCTAACTTCGTTATAGCACCTCACCAACAGAGTCATACACTATACTCAGGGAAAGTAACAGAGTAGGAGCTCTGCCAGGATTCAATTGATATGCCCTAGGTAATTATCAGCCGTTCCATGAGACTATATAACTAATCAACTATTCAGAGGTCCTACAGGCTCATATGTTTTGTAGGCAGATCAAGTTGGAGACGAGGGTTTCGCATACGAGAACAATTTACCATACTTTCAGAAATCCGTCAACTTTACGACTCCAAATACCTCCAAAAAAAAAAAAAAAAACCAAGCCAATGTCACTATCCTAGAACTGCTCAACACGACTGCCTACAGTCCGATTGGAGGTCCTCTGCATGTCTCCTACGCCAACGGAACGCTAGGCGTTTCTTCCTATAGATGAGATGCTTTCACATTTGCTGGATTTCCGGTTTCAGATGGATTTAGTGGAGGTGTGTTGAATGTACACAGTGGTTTCCTTTCATGGTCAATCCGACGAATCAGCACAGGAGCTTTTCGCAAACGTACTTTTTGCAACAAAGTTTAGCAAAGTCTGGCTTGAATCTGAAAATTTATCAGTTGACGCAGGGTATGAATATTCTCTTCAATGGAATGAAGACTGCAACGGGTGTCAATGTCTCAGGTGCGGGAATGTCCTACAAACCTAATGTGCGGAGAGAATTAATCCTGAGAACAGGCACAGTATGTTCCCAGGACCTCTCTGGGTGTGCTAGCTATTGTCTTTAGCAGTTCCATCAGCCGCAACTTTTTGTGGTATCCGGTATTGGTCCTGTGGATACATTGAAGAAATAACATCGCTATAATCTCTGATCTGCCAAGTGTTACCGTGTTGGCCAAAACATGCTGTAAGTACTCGGTCGAAAATAGTGTTTCTCTGGTGATCCAACATCACAAGACACGGCAAATATCGGCGGGGTTACATTCCCAGTGAATACTATTTCCCAAGGCCACGATATCAAACAATGCAACGCTCATGGCGCAAGCAGCATATGATTATCTCACCAATCAAACAGGCATCTGGGCGTAGACTCTGGTGACTACGTTGGTATGACACCGCAGTCTGTTCACGCTTTGACAATTCTGATCTCGGATAGGCTGGGAAAGACTTCCCCAAGTGTACCGCGCAAACTTGACTGCAACTACGTAGTCCTACCTCTCCACGATCCTCGCTGACTGGCCAGGTCTGGAGTCTGTAATCAACGGCAATTCCTACACCCTTGAAACCACTTCAAGCAAGGCATGAACTATTCGACAAACGGTATTCTCCTTCCAGCCCCTGCTTCCCGTGGAATGCGATAATTTCATCTAATAGAATACAGACAAAACAGTCATTAGCACAAACTGGCTGCTAGACAAAATAGATCGGGAAGTGGCAGTTCAAGCTTATCGAAGAACCAGAGAGATCTAGTCAAAGGTTGATCCTAGCGTTACACTTGGGCCGGAAACCTCACCCGGAAACATTGCTGGCCATGCGAATATCTTGGAGTATATTACGACGAAGGGAATGGGGCCATTCATCATGCGACTTCCACTTGTAGGTGTTCGATCGAATAGAGAGAAATTAGAATGTGCTAATTTGGAGTAGGCAGGATGGGGTGAGCAAATAATAGCATGGTGGTTGTGGATAGCCATGGGAGAGTGTTTGGGGTGCAGAAGTGGAGGGTCATCGATTCATCCTCGTTTGCTCTTACCTCACCGGGACACACGCAGGGCGCTACCTGTAAGTATCACTCTTTCCAAATTTTTAGAGAGATTTTGCTCACTTGTTGTAGATGCGCATGCGGAAAAGTTAGTGGATGATATTGCCAAGGGAAAACAACGGATTAAAAGGGATGTAAGGGGACGGAGCTCACTTGAGTCCAAGACTGGACCAAAGCGCAAGAAAGGGGGTAAATTGTGTTAGATGAAAGGAATACATATATAGCAAAAGTTAGACTTGGATAATCATAATTGCAGAGTTTTAGACGGTTCAAGCTAGTTTCCAAACCCAGTCCTGTGCCAGAAAATATTGCCTGAAGCGAGACGCTCCAGATTTCAGCTTGAACTGCAGCCCTAGACAAGTTTACGTTGGCACCGATTGCAACTGCCTCGAACCTCAAAACAGTTGCAAGTACAGGCGTTAGCTGGAATGACAAATATTAATGTTGGAGGAAGGTGGGAGTTTGACTGTGCTTGCAGCGTTGGCATGGACTTCTATCTCCAAACTTGCCAGACGTGGATGATTTCATGTTGGCTCAGGATTTGTGGGCATGAATAGTTCCGGCGGTGTTATTAAATTACGGTGACTAAAATTTGGGTTGCAATTACACTGGAATTTTGATGTGTGTATGTGCCTTATACCTAGGCACCTCCAGTTCCAAGAGCCACACCAAACGCGTATGCTACACATAGTGCAAGTCAGCATGGCTTTTCTTATTTGTCGTGCAGAGCCAGGAGATAACGCACCATTCGTCTGGCAAGTAGCATTGCAGGAAGGGAAAAGCTGCCCATTGCGGCCACCATTCTGCGGCAATTTCACCACATTCTTGAGCAATGCGTCCAAAGCATCATTGTGAAGGTCCTTGATTCCATCATATATCGTATCCAACGTCGGCTTGCTCGGCCCTTTGTCACTTCGAGAGATGATATCCAGCGAAGGGCCAACAAGTCCTCCATCTGCTGGCGTCTCATACAACACCGAGTATGGCACTCCCTCGCTGTCATAACCCCATGCAATCACTTCCCATGTATTGTTTGCAAATGTCAATGGTGGTGTAGGTATGTATGTATATGAATCCGGGACCGGTGTGCCCTTGATGACAGTCGGAGTATCGATACCGTAGTTTTTGAAGACGAAAGACGTTTTGTTCAGCGCGAATTCGGTGGTTAAGTCTTGAAGTGTGCCATCGATGCCGTATGTTCCAGTTGGATAGAGTGTCCATTGCATATCTTGGAACAGCTGATAGATAAGAGAGTTCGAGTAGCCGAAATACCAGGTCCCGAGGAACTAGAAAGGGGGAGTGGGCTCCCAGGCATGTTGTGAAGGAAGTTCGAAGGTAGGAGGAAGGCGGAATTCGATGTGGTTAGGAGGGGTCTGGTGCCGTTTCAGGTTGCAGATATTGAGTTCTAGTTTTGTTAGTACTTTAGTGTCAAGGCACACGGTGACGCAAATGACTCTGTTCAAGACTGATATTTCTGATAGAGAAAGTCAACTTTCATACCTGGCTGGGAACCAGTTTCCAGATCGGTAAAGAGCGCAGAGGTCGCTGTGGTGAAAGCCCCAACGGCTATGCACCAAGACTTGGGTAGCATGCTGCATTAGCTTTAAGACTCAAAAGAGCTTTAAAAGATTGGGATAGTCGACCTGATCAGAAACCTATTAGAAATGGGATTCAATGGGAAATTTAAACATCCAGATTCCCGGTCACACGAGTCACGGCTGGTCAGATCTGTGCCACCAAACAATTTCGATCGAACGTCAGCCATACTTAACAAGTTGACCCGAGATCATGGACCCGATCAGCCACCAGTTTACCCCTCGTTACGAAGTACGAGGTCCAATAAGAAAGACGTGGAACATCATTTCTTCAGGCATGTCAGCGGCACGGCGCGGTTTTTAATCAGCCCTTCAAGCCCTCCAAAATCTTACATGAGCACGTAGTGCGCCTAAACTGCTCACATCCTATCAAAACAGCAGGGAAGACCAGACAAGGTAATCGTGCGTCGAGACTAGCACTAAAGCCCCTGCGTCCCTGCGGGTTTAGTGCGTATCAGCGATACGGTCAAAAATCAGCGATACGGTCATTTTTTTTACCATTATATCGATTTTAATTGATTAAATATCAACACCATGGCCAAATTCGACCCAGAAGAAGAGAAAAGGATGGCCCAGGCCTCCGATTTCTATACCAGGAACCCACACGTCAAAAAATCTACGATTGCGCGTCAATTCAGGGTCAAATTACGCCTCTGGAAAGCGCGTTTGGCTGGCCGCGCACCACAAAACACCAAAGGGGGCCTCAACAAGGTCCTTAATCCTGATTAGGAGGAGGCCCTAAAGCAATTTATCGATTTTATAATCTATTTAGGCCATAGAGCTGATCTCAAGACAGTGCGGGCGGCGGCTAATAAGATCCTTGGGGACAGCGCTTCCACCTACCAAGTAAACCGCCTATAGGCATAATAATGGTTTAAACGGAATAAATCATGGTTTAAAACCCTTCGCGCAAAGACACTAGTACAAGAGCGGAAGGCGGCACATCGAAAGGAGGATCTGGAAGAGTATTTTACGGAGTATTATGGGGCGTTAGAGAAGTATAGGATCTGCTTTGAAGATGTATGAAATATGGACGAAACGGGCTTTCGTATTGGCGTTTTGAATAGAAAGATTATTATTATACGCCTTAATACGAAAGCTATCTACTTGGCAGATTCCGATAATCGAGAATTACTTACTGCGATCGAAACTATATCCGCTAGGGGCAAAGTAATTGCACTATTCCTTATTTTAAAGGGGGAGATCCTAGTAGAGGCACACTTCGATAATAATCTGGATACCGAATCAGTCTTCGCTACAAGCTTTACTGGGTATATAAATAATGCTCTAAGCCTGAAATATATTAAGCACTTCCATAATCAGATATATTAACGTATGTAAGGCAAATAGAGGATATTGATTTTTGACGGGTATAGCTCCCACACTTCAGACGAGTTCTTATATTATTACTAGTCCTATAAGATCGTCCCCTTTTAACTACTACTATATAGTATATACCTCCTTTAACCGCTCGATATTGGCCTCTTTTAACCTCTCAAATACTGGTATTAAATTAGTATTTACGATAAGATTTAGTATAGTAATATCGTTTATACCAAGCTTGATTTTCTAGGGGCATACCAGATAGTTTATAGGAGAATATTCAAGCGCAGGACTATTATTAGTGCCTTTACCAAAGCGGGCCTATTAGGACCTAATATAATACGACATATATACGAGAAGCTAGCTTAATTCGAACTAAAAGAAGGTTTATTAATTAGTTATAGATTTATATAGTAATATAGGCTAATTTTGCAGTGGACAAGCAAATTGAGCCTCTACCCCCGCAAACCCCTCTATCGTCAAAACCCTTCCAAAACCCCCCTACCTCTGCGAATCATGCGGTATATAATACCTATATATATTAACGTTTAGACGATTATTTTATCCTTGCAAAGGATAACGAGGAATACGCTCTTATACCAAGTTTTTGGAGATCTTGGAGGGCATACTAGAAGTCGACTAAGCCCAAGCTAATTAAGGCTGGGCTAATTATGGAAAGAGAGCTTGCAAGGGAGAAGGCAGCACTCCAGGAATAACGTAATAAGCTAGATAAGGAGGGCAGGAAGCATATATAAAAGTATAGAGTTATATCCAAGGGTTCGGCTATATATTAAATCGCATATTACAGAGAGTCTCTCTTTACTCCTAAAGAGATAGATATTAATGCCTATCTAAATCGCCGAATCAGGGAAACTAATACCTATATTACAAAGCATATTACTAGTAAGCTTCCATGCAGGAGACGTACTCGGGGGGAAACAACTCCGTACGATTTAGGGGAGCCCTTTGACTATGGGGATAAACCACTATTTGTTAAATATAGTAAAACTAGTCTAAAGGCTCACCACCAAAAATTAATAGCAAAATGGGCGGAATAGAGGCAAATCGATCGCAAGATAGAGCTCTTTTATGCGAATAAGATAGATTTTAGGCTAGCTTCTCCCGGATACTAGGAGGAATGAGTTAGTGAGTTTGGTAATATGCGGGTGGAAATACTAGCTAGGGAGCTTGGTTTTGTCAGACCACTACCCCCTCCCCCTTCATTTTATAATAATGGCTTTGGTTATATAGTCAGATTAGAAGCTAGTGGAAAGGAGACTATTATTAAGTACACGATTTAGGACGTAGTTATTCTGTAATTAATTAATTTCTAAGTTGGTAGCATTTTGGGGGGGGTTACCGGTGAGGTGAAGTATATAATATTTCCACTATTTTTTACTATATATATATGTAATATGAAAGTAAGAGAATTTGATTTATTAAATATAGTATGAACTCCATATAAACTGTAAAATATTTTTCTCTGATTTTCACTAAAATTAGGAAAATTGGTATTCTGAAAAAATGACCGTATCGCTGATTTTTGACCGTATCGCTGATACGCACTAAACCCGCAGGGACGCAGGGGCTTTAGTGCTAGTCTCGACGCACGATTATGGTGCACCACTTCTTTAATTTCCGGACTCCGAACATCCTGAGAGGACGGCTCGCATAGCGCGCCATCACTCAAAAAGCAAATATTAACTACACTCCCCCGCAGCTCGTGGCGGGCTGAGAAATCCAAAATTTCCTCACCGCTTTTCATTTCGGGTTGGATCTGTGGCTATCGTTGGTTGAAACCGGAAGGAAAAGGCGAAAAGCCGGAGACGAACACGAGAAAGGTGCTTGCAGCCGGGTCCAAAAAATTGTACGAAGTAATAACTTGGGTACGATTATTATGGCAAAGGTTTCGTCAGGCACCTACGGCATTAATCGGAGGAACTCGGTCCGATCAATCTCGCTTACTTGCGTGGCGTACTCTACCAGCCAATCGGGCGAGTGCACGTGCCCTCGGAGCTTAATTACTCCGTGCTGACGTTGCTTACCGCCACCTAATTTCCCCGATACCGGGGCTAGCCAATCACTTAATTGTGCTACCACACGCTTCACTCTAAGGCCTTTACCTTCACCTTTACCAAGCTTCACTATGGACGTCCTCTCTACTTTACCATATAACGTTAGTCACGTGCGATAGCTGCTTTTTGATTTACCTATACTATTCTCGCTTAGTCTAGCTAATTATAGGCTCTTCTGGCCCCTTATCAATAACGTATACTCGATTCGCGTCTCAAATAATATCAGATTTCGCCTACGCAATAGTCGCCCTGCTCATAAGCGCCACCAAGTGATTTGCCGATTTAAGCGAGCACGTGTTATACTATTAGCAAGCCAAGGCAAGCGCGCTAGCTCTTCTAAGCGCATATTAAGTGGCTGTAACGTCGGTTTCGCCCTCTTAGCCTTCTTAGATCACTACGAATACTACCTAATTGGCTAATTAAAGGACTTAATTTTGGTTACGTGCTCAAAACACTCCCATTCTTTGGACGAAAGTAATGCAAATAAGCGAAATAGCTTCCTCAGGCAGTTGGTTGGCGCGGAAGTCGCTAATAGCTACCCTCCGGCAGCTATAATTCGCTCGCTTATCGGAGAGGGACGGGCCAATGCGCGCGCACGCCTCGCTTCTGCTAGTGGCGCATACCTTACTCGGCAAGACGTTATTAATGCCGGTCTCACGTAGCGATTAGCTAATCCGAATCAACTCTGGGCACGCACTGAAATCAAAAATGATATTAGCTTGCAAGGCATTAAGGCTCTTAGAGTACTAGCTAGTCTAGGCTGGCTAGCGTCGCAAATCAGTGCGACGTTATTGGATCACGTGGACGGGCAGGGCTTAGTTTTTGCCGACCCGGCTCGCTTACCTATACTAGAAGCGCACGGGCACCTCTCGCTTATCGATAGCACTCACAAAACCAACCAATTAGAATAGAAGCTTTTTACGCTTATAGTACGCGACAAATACGCATACTAGCACCTAGTCGCCCACGGACTTTTATTGCACGAATTCGGTGAGCTTATTACTGAGTTCTTATTGGCTATTAAGCAGTAGTATAACTGGCGATTACGCTACATACTAAGCGACGATTCAGGGGCTAAGCAGCGGGCGTTTCGCTTAGCCTTTCCAGGCTTAGTTTGCGGGGAAATGGAGGTAAGCGAGCCCGCAATAACTTTAAACCTTATTTCTTATCATACCACTCACAGCGCTTAGATTTCGCGCCTTCTTTGCCGAGTGCACTGCATGCATACGCTTAAGCGCAAATTGGGCTCTAGCGCCAATACCAAAGCACGTGGCCACGCAATAGCAGCGCTTTATAATCGCCGTACCGAGGCTGGCGCACGCGATTCAGTCGCGAAAGCGATCGAGGCTGCCGCTAGCCCTGAAAAGGCTAAGTATATACGTAATAATTGGCTTAAGACCTTACCGCTTTGGGCTAATTATACACGTGAGCACTCAGCCTTACTACTTCAGGTCTTGACGACTAATCCTAATGAGGCATACCACCGCTCGCTAAAGGCCTTAGCGAAGATTACTAAGCTTGTTATGCGGCCGCAATACTCGCTTAGCGGAATTATCTCGCTTATTTCTTAGTGCAATGCCTAATACATATCACGTACTCAAAAAGCAGCATATAATTGGTTAAAAAGAAAGCTTAGCGCTATGCTAGAGCACCCGTAGCTAGATTATTTCCCCTATCAAGTGCAATTACTTCTATTAGAAGAAATAAAGGGGTTAGAAAGGCTAGCCGAGTCAGGTAATGAGTCGGGCATTACCGAATCGGGCAAGTGCGATTATCGCTTCGCGCAATTATATTAGCTACCTTGCAAGCACGTGATCTATACCTGGAACCTCGGGGAAATCGACGAGCCGAACTGGTCTGATTTAGCTGAGTAATTCGACGAATCAGGCTTCGAGGTTTATATTAGTAGAGGGCTAGTTAATATTAGCGAAGAAGAAAGAGTCTTGTCACGTGACTCGGAAGTAAAGTTGGTTACAAGCGAGGCTCTAGAGTCGGTGCGGACCCGCTTTTTTGAGGTGGTTGAGCTCTCTGATTCGCTAGATAAGGAGGCACGTGAGCGATTATTACATTATTAGGAAGTAGAACTAGCTGACTATACGAGTGCTTTTATTGGTGGATCACTTACAGAGTGGTTGGGGCGGGACGATGAGGTAATTCTATTCTAATTAGGCTTAGTGCGCGGTGCGCGTGCCGCATCGGCTTAATTAACCTCCGTATATGCCTGACGAAACCTTTGCCATAATAATCGTACCCAATAACTTTGATCTCGATGTCTCCTTTGAAGTGGGGTTTCTGACGTGAGAATTACCGGTTTCTGAGGGTCCTATGGCGTGTCCTTGGCTCCATACTCTCCAGACCCTGGAGGCAATATGTAGGGATTTTGGAAAATAAATATTATTTATGTAAGAAATGGAGTGATTTTAAGGGCATATGACAAATTAGACTAGCGCCTCCTTGTAGCCAATGGAATCACTAGAAAACGGCACGTGCAAAGAGGATTTCGCACACTCTTCTAAACTTCTCCTCCTTAATATTATCAATTAAACTATTAACTATTAATAACTACACAGCCATGCTGCCTTTAAGATAATGCGAATGCTTCACACACGGATTGGTCTTCCACTTTCTTTCTCCCTTTTATACATTAGTACTGCATAACCACTATGGGTTTGAGCATATAATTATACAAATAAGTATTGCCAGACCAATATTATATATGTAAGCGCTAGACCAGTATTATTTACATAAATAAAATAAATTTCGGCAACCTTACTCCGGAACAACGTGCACTTCGAAGCTCACGGCATAAAGTGACGGGATTACAGGGTACCACACCTTTATGGGGCTTCTTCCCTGTATTTACAAGGGGTACCTCGCTAAAGATCCATATTAACTACAGTGCCTATTCAGCACTCAAGCGCTATCGCCGCCCCT